TCGATCGCGAGATTCGCTACGTCGAGGAGAAGACGCTGCTGGCGCCGCAGAACCAGGCGGCGTGGAATTACCTGCGCGGCGTGTTGGTCAAGGGAGGGCGCAAGCTCGAGACGGCCGAGGCGTTTGCGGGGCAGTTTGTCAAGAATGTCGGCGCGGAGGAGGAGGAGGAGGAGGAGGAGGAGGTGCGCAGCAGCCACGCGCTGGATTTCCTGGCCGAGGTGTTGGCGGAGAAGGGGCAGAAGGAGGAGGCGGCCAAGTACCTGGACCGGTTGGCGGCCAAGTGGGATCCTGTGAGGGCGGGATACTGGAAGTACCGCAAGCAGCAGCTTGGGGCGTGAGGTTTGCATTGCTATCGACGTTGCTGTTTCTATGAATCGAGACACCCCTTTTTGATCGTGCGCAGACGCCTTACGTCGGGCCTATTTCTATACATCCCATCAGGCTTATGCCTGCTGTCCCAGGTCAAGTCCATTCTGTCTCGGAGTCAGCAGGCGAACAAAGAAGAGAAGACAAGGCAAATCTCACCTCTATTCATATGCCGTATAGGACACGTCGTGTCGCTCGTCATCATCGCTCTCGCTTTTATAATCCCAAAAGACCCATTCCAGACTTCCCCATCTCACAACGCGCGAAAGTTTTGGCTCATAATCAACCACCGCCTCGCGCCCCTCGGTGGATTCTTGCCAAACGTATCCCAATTCGGCACCAGCACAAACACCTCGTTGAACGTCTTTGCGGGGGCATCCCGCCCCCTACCATAGTGCACCCTGCCCGTGACCTGCGCCATGATGCTGCACTTTGCGCCCTTTTCGTCGCCGCGCTGGAGGTGCTCCGGGCACCCTAGCGAGAAATCACTGTTGACGACGTGGGCATCGAGAGACTCGACCTCGTGGTGGACGTCGACGCCTTGGGCGTCCAGCAAGGCGACGTACTCGTCGGGACCGCCCTGGAGGACGGCGCCGTTGATGGAGATGTCGGGTGGGGACGGGTATTTAGAGCAGGTTGTCGTGTAGAATTTTTCGAGGGTGCCGCCTTGTTTGCGGCGGTTGAGGGCTTCGTAGTAGGCGTCTGCGAAGTTTGAGGCCGCTGGGGAGGGTTTGTGTTAGTTCTACCATAAGGTGACGATTGAGTTTGGTGGGGGTTGGTTGAAAGTACCGTCGGCCGAGGCCCTCATTTCTGTTTCGCGAGAGGGGAGAGACATGATTGCAATACTTTGTTCATGTGTTTCAGTCCAAGTTGTGTTGGAAGAGGAAAGTTGGGAATCGTATTGTGTACTCGGCGGTGTTGTCGCAACAATGCAAGTGTTGAGAGGACTCGGGAAGAAGTTTGGCGGGGCAGACAGGGATCGCGCGCCGATAAGAGCTCTGGGCCGTTATCGTTCGACACAATCCGTACGGTGCACTTGGAGCGAGGAGCATTGCAAGCTTTCGATTCCTCACGCAACTTGCCCATCCCAGCTGTCGACGGCGTGCTTCTCCGGCAGTAAGCTCGACAACAACAGACTCAATGAGACCAGCAAGGCTGTCGCCAGCTTCGGCGTTCCGCAACCGCCGCCATATCCCGGCGATGCGATCGCCCTGGGTCTGCCCCTCGTGCACCCACGGGCAGACATCGCGACGCCGTTTCGCGAGCTCCGACAGCAAGGGCGACAAGCCATACTACGTGACGACGCCCATCTTTTACGTCAATGCATGTATGTGTGCTTCCCGTGGACCACTGTCCTAGGCCAAAGCTAACATGTTGGCTCTTGCAGCACCCCACGTCGGCCACATGTACTCGATGCTCCTGGCAGACGTTCTGAAGCGCTGGCAAGTCCTCAAAGGCCGGACCGCGATCCTCTGCACCGGTACGGACGAGCACGGCTCCAAGGTCCAGCAGGCGGCGGCGAAGCAAGGCGTTCCGGCCAAGGAGTTCTGCGACACGACGGCCGAGAAGTTCCGCGACCTGGCAAAGGCCATCGGCATGGCCAACGACCACTTCATCCGCACGACGGACCAGGACCACAAGGAGGCGGTGCAGCACTTTTGGCACTTGCTCAAGGAGAGGGGCTACATTTACGAATCCAAGCACGAAGGGTGGTACTGCGTCAGCGACGAGTGCTTTTACGGCAACAACGAGATTGAGCGGCGGGTCGAGCCGCAGACGGGGCGCACCATAATGGCGGCCATCGAGTCTGGGAACGAGGTGGAGTGGATCGAGGAGAAGAATTACCACTTCCGCATGACGGCGCTCAAGGAGAGGCTCCTCGCCTTTTACGAGGCGAACCCGGACTGGATCGTGCCGAGGGCGCGGCAGAAGGAGGTGGTGGCGTGGGTGTCCAACAACCTCGAGGACCTGTCCATCTCGCGGCCGGTGCAGAGGCTGGACTGGGGCGTGCGGGTGCCGGACGACCCGACGCAGACAATTTACGTCTGGGTCGACGCGCTCATCAACTACATCACAAAGGCCGGGTTCCCCGGGTGGCGGCCCGGCCGCGAGCACGAGGGCGGGTGGCCGGCGGACGTGCAGGTCATTGGCAAGGATATCGTGCGGTTCCATGGCGTGTACTGGCCGGCGCTGCTGATGGCGCTAGACCTGCCGCTGCCGAAGCAGCTGCTCAGCCACGCGCACTGGACGCTGGGGAAGAAGAAGATGTCCAAATCGCTGGGCAACGTGGTGAATCCGTTCTTCGCGGTCGACCGGTGGGGTCTGGACACGATGCGGTACTTTATGATGCGCGACGGCGGGATCGAGAAGGATGCGGATTATGAAAACTCGCTCGTCATTGCAAGGTATCAGAAGGATTTGCAGTCGACTGTGGGGAACCTGATGAACCGGGTGGCCAAGAGCAAGAAGTGGAAGCTTAGGGATTCGGTGGTGTGGGCGGCAGAGAAGAGCGGCGGCGGTGCGCCGACGAGGCACAAGGTCGAGGGCAGCGAGGAGTTGAAGGTGTTGGTTGACGGGATGGCGCCGACCATGTCGCAGCACATGGACGAGCTGAATCCCAACGCCGCCATTCGGAGCGTTCTCCACGTTCTATCCGAGGTATGATGGAGCACATATGCTTGCATGATATAATACTGACTCGACGTGTGTCCAGGCAAACAAGTACATCTCCGCCGCGGAACCGTGGAAGCTGGCCAACTCGACGGATCCCGAGGTCCAGGCCGCGAAGCACGAGGTCGTCTACTACGCGTCGGAAGCCGTTCGTTCCGCGGGCATCCTCCTGCAGCCGGTGATGCCGACCAAGATGGGTATGCTGCTTGACATGATGGGCGTTGAGGCTGGTAAGCGCCGCTTTGAGCATGCGGTGTTTGGCAAGGATTTGACCTACGGAACGCCTGCGGTCGACTTGGGACGTCCCGGCGAGTTCAACAGCCTATTTCCCCCCCAACCGGCTGAGAATTGAGTGGGAAGACGTTTGGTCGGGACGCTATGTGAGACGGGGACTTTTGTCCCATGTAAATTTGTGTACTATCTCCGCTGTTGATGTTGTGTGTAAGATGGTGTGTAGATATTGTGTATTTACACGAAACGAAGCTCCAAATGGCCTGTGTCAGGTGGGGTGCGATACAGGGGAATTTCCCGGAAGACGACCCAATTGCTTCAGGGACCATCTACGTTGCCCCCAAGAGATTGCCTTTTGAGAGCGAGCTGTGAGGTGTGGTCGAGAGGGCGTTTGTTACGGGCGGTTTGTTTGCGCGCGCCAGAGCCCAGCGCTACTTGAGACGACAGAGAGTGGGGAACTTCAACAACAGGTCACTAGTCAAGGTGCCAGAGTGGTTAATGGGCTGCCCTGCTATCAAACCTTGATTCCAGATTAGGCAGTGGCTTCGGTCGCGCAGGTTCGAATCCTGTCCTTGACGCATGCGCATATATTTTTTGCTTTTGGTATGACTTCCTGTGTCTATCATGTTCGTCAATGACCGAATCTTCTTTTGCGCAACTTTTCTCGTTCAAAACCGCGGAATGGTTGTTGCTTTTGCTGTTTGGTTCTACGTGGTAGCTATGAGTGAGCTATCCAACTCAGAGTGGGGCCGGGTTCTGAGCTCTCCCAAGGCTTTCACAGCTGCAACAACTCTGGGAACTCTGTACAAAAACATTCATACACACATCAGCCCGCCTCGAACGTCTCGAGAATCTTTGAGACCAAGCAAAAAAAGAGAACACCGTCAACGACAAGATTCGAACTTGCGCGACCGAAGCCACTGCCTCAACAGCTGGAACAGGACAAGTCCTGATGGATCCGTAGCAGGGCAGCCCATTAACCACTCTGGCACGTTGACTTAGCTTGGAGCTGTGAACTGTGGATTGTCCAGGCCAGAACTCCATCCTTGAACACATCGTACACTTGTCTCAGCCGCAGGTACCCTAGGTTTTCTTTCCCCTCTTTTCGGACGCCTGCAGGAGAGAAGAGGAGCTTTGTTGTGGGCGAGACCGGCGGGGCGGCGTTTTGGCTTTTCGAAGTGGAACCTGTGAGAGCGACAGCAACTGCGGAGTGGTGCAGTTGTGAACTTGTAAAGGACGAAAAGCAAGCTTGAAAACGATTTATGCAAAAGTGCAAAATGAGGTTGAATGAGCATACAGGCATGTACCTACGCACCCGCGCGCCACCAGTTCTGTTCTTGAGAGACGAGAGACGAGAGATGTGGCGCGATCCGTTCTGTTGTGATGGTGTGCGCTTACAAGCGGAATAGCCATCGTGACGCCGAGGGTGACTCTTGTCCCCTACGAGGCAAGACATGTGGAGCGATATCATGAGTGGATGAGCGATCCGGTCAGCCCAATAGCCCGCAAACAAGTGCACTTAGTTGGAGTCATCCAGTGATGATACAGATTTATGGTGCAGACGGGTTGGAAAGAGGACTAACTGTGTGATTCTTATGAAATAGGATATCCAGGAAGCCACGGCCTCGGAGCCGCTCACGTTGGAAGAGGAGTGCGAGAATCAGCAGTCGTGGCGCACCTCGCACGACAAACTCACCTTTATCATCTGCCAGCCTTTCGACTCGTCGTCGGCGATGGCGTCCACCGAGGCCGTGCAGGCTGGTGAGGTTGATGCATCGGAGCGGATGATTGGGGATATCAACTTCTTCATTTATCCCTACGACAACGACGATGACAATGAAGATGAAGAAGGCCAGGCTGCTGCTGCTGCGGCAAACGAAGGCTTGTACGTCGGCGAGGTGGACGTCATGGTGGCGTCCAAGGAGCACCGCGGCAAAGGCATCGGCCACGCCGCCGTGACGACGCTGTTGACGTACGTTCATCGAAACAAGGCGCGGATCCTCGATGAGTATGTCCAGAGAGAGGAGGAGGGCAAGGAGATGACGACCAAGAAGGCGGCGGCGGCGGCGGCGGCGGCGCAGCTAAAGGGTTTGATGGTGAAGATCAAGGAGGGCAATACCGCGAGCATTGCGCTGTTTCGGCGGTTGGGGTTCGTGCAGAAGGGGGAGGTGAACTATTTTGGCGAGATTCAGATGGTTCTTGGGGACTTGGACGAGTTTGTGGCGTCTTCTGCTGGTGGGAAGGCTGCGGATGAGTATCATGAGGTCTCGTATTCTAGATAGGGGTTTTGATGCCGAAGAATATAACCCGGCAGCTGTCTACCATCATGTGTGTCTAGTCTTGTCCCTTTCTCAAATCCTCAGGGTAGAGTCTATCCTCAGGGTATGCCCAAGCTGGCTCCTCCTTTTATGTTATCCATCTCTCTGTTCCCTACTGACGCGATGGTTTCATGAAGCATCGCCATATTTTGCACGGTATTCGTTCAACATCTCCATAGTGACGTTTGACCCGCCGCATACAATAAGCACAATATTCTGCTTCGCCCACTCCTCATCCGATATGCCCGCACCGAAATGCTTCCTGAGCGCGCCGTTATACGCCGTCGCAATCGTCGCGCCACAAGCAACCTCAACCACCAGCTGCGCGTCATCCACGAAGCGCACACACGCCAGCGCCGCCTCTTTATCCGTGACGGTCACGCTCTGGAATCCGGGCGTGTCCCTCGCCACCTCCCACGCCCTCCTCGCTACGCGCACCGCACCCAGCGAGCCCGCAATGGACTTGATCCCCGGCAGCGTGACGTGCTCGCCGGCGAGCACGCTGGCGTTGAGGCTGTCCGCGCCGACGGTCTCCACGGCCATCAGCCGCGGCTCCTTGCCGCCTGGCCACCGATTCTGCGAGACGCCCTGCGCGAGACCGGCTAGTAACCCGCCGCCGCCGACGGAGCACACGATCCCGTTGACCTCGACCTCATTCCCCGGCGATGATGATGATGCCAACTGCGCGACGAGCTCGTCGGCAATAGTGGCCGCGCCGTCCCAGATGCGCGGGTGGTCGAATGGCGGGACGTACACGCCCGCCGGGTCGTTGGCGAGCATCACCTCGCGGAGGTGGGCGTCCGCCTCGGCCCAGTTTGCGCCGATCTGGCGGACGTCGGCGCCGAGGAGGCGCAGCTTGGAGATCATGAGCGGGGAGGTGGTCATGGGCACGACGATGGTGGCCTTGCGGTTGAGGGCGATGGCCGAGGTCGCGCAGGCGAGGCCGGCGTTGCCGCCCGAGGAGCAGTAGAAGTGGGATTCTTGGTTGGGGGGCGCGTCGGCGGCGGCGCGGACCATGAGGTTGCCTACGCCGCGGGACTTGAAGGAGCCTGAGGGTTGGAGGTTTTCAAGTTTGAGGTAGATGTTGCTGGAGTGGTGTCAGTTGAGAGGCTGGTAGGCAGGTGTCATGGGACGACTGACCATCCTGCTGCGCGAGACAGAGCAGCTGATGCGATGCATGGTGTCTGGATCCACGGCTTCTTGGTGTCTGAATTGAGGGAACCCATTGCGGCGGATTTGACGAAGATGGAGGCTTGGTGATGGCGGCTTCTTCTCTGGTACTACCTCTGTGAACTGAACAGAGTTAGCCGGTGGGATTTATTCTAAGGACAATTTGGCAAAGTCGGAGTAGCAAGTGGGTACACACATAAGTTCCTTTTTCGATGGGCCTTCAACTCTGAGAAAATGAAGCTCAGATCTCGACGATGTTGGTGAGATGAAAAAGTAAAGGATAGAAGTTACCGATGCCTACTTCGAGAAACTTGTTCTATGAGGTTAAGACAAAGAATGTATCTCAATCAGCGTTAAGTGCGTAACAAATGAACCAATCCGTACGATTCTGGCAACGTCGGGAAACAACCTCAATCTTGTGTTGGATTTTATGTATATAAGTTGATGGCTGCCGGTAAAGAAGCTTCTCGATGACTTGCCAGGGCGCGCTGGCCCGACTAAGAGTGTCAAGTTACTGCATTGAGTCAAGTAAAGGGCGCACTTGCGGATGCGGGTGCACGGGGCCGGAACAGGGATCCGACGGCGACCGGAAGCCATGCCGATCGGTGGCCGGAAGCCGAGCTGGGGCACCTGAACATGCCCGGCCTCCGGACATGATGATAGCAACGGAGCCGACCTCCAGGCCGTCATCTTGGAAAAACATATAATTCTTGGTCCTCAAATCAAAGAAACATCGTCGTCACGTGCGTTCTAGGAAAAGGTATTTTGCAGCCCTCATGTAATGTACTAGCTTTTGAGTACGTACTTGAGGAGAGGCGTTGGCATGAGACGGTAGCATGGAAGGGATTTTGGCAGGCATTGGAGCCCTTTGACGCCTTCAAACTAACGAAACTCGACTTCCAGTCCTCGATCAGAGAGATAGATTTGGATCCTTGCGTCATTTTAACAACTGGAGCCAAGTGCCTTGTCAATATGACTGGTCTGACAGGGTATAACATTGACTGGAATGATTGTTCGTCCTCGTCCCGTCTAGCACTTTCCCAAGACCCATTTTGCCTAGTACCTATGTATTTACTTGAATACACAAGTGGATGCCTTCATATACCCCCTCAGGTCCATTCCTGTCATCAACCAGCAGGCGCCTCTCTAGGTCGGGAGGTCAGGTCAAACTGGGATGGGTGGTGGAGTGGTTAAAGGTCAACGATCATCAATTACGCCCACAGCCTACTCGACGACAGGCTCCGAGTTCGATTCCCAGCATGAGCACCAAGAGATGTAGCCCCATCTCAGCACCGAGGGGTGAACTCTTTTTTGACTCTCTAGGATCTCTTTACTTAAAACTTTACACTGCTAGGTGGCTTGAGAACGTCATATTGGCAGCAACCCATTTCGCGGGACTAAGACATCCTCATCTGGCAATGGTCCAATCCTCAACAGCATCTTAGCCAGCTACTTGTGCAAAAATCCTTGGCATTTATCAGATCGACCCGCAAGAAAGTACTCACGAAGCTGGCAGAGCTCTTTCTGGGCATTCCAAGAGGTACGCCTTCCCTCTTCATTCTCTGCGCATTTAGCGATCCCTCTTTCCTTCCTCCTCGGGCCATATAAAAGATATCCAGTGCTAATTCCACGAGTCTGTCCTCCAACTCTACTTCACCACCAATACCTCATTGGCACCTCAATTATTTCACCAAGACATAAATCTACCAGAGTAGTTACTCTTCCATCGTCACAGAATTCTTCTCCAAGCTGCCATTCCAACTGAGAAAGCACGAGATAATAGCAAATCGCCATCGCAACCAATGCAGAGAACCAAAGCAACGGCTTCGCTCTCAACAACCTTTTCTCCGGCTGCTACTTTGAGTGGCTTTGTTCTTCACGAAGATACACCGATTGTCCCCAACTCTCTTTCCCTTATCATCTACTGCCCCAAGGACGACCGTTCTCTCAAAGGAAGCAAGAGTCTTCATAGCTCCTGCCTCTCAATTTGATCTGCAGTTGACTTTTTCTTGCTCTTTATACTTTGAAGACAACGAGACTTGACTCTCGGGCACCACATTCTACAACAATTTGAAGATTCTGTCAAAGCAAGCACAGTCTAATCAGGTAAGCAGGCTTTGATATTGGGCTAGAGGGTTCTGAGCTCTACCATTTACTAACTACACCAGCTTCGACGGGGGACTCTTCCAACTTCAAGTCATTTGCTACGGAAACTCATCCAGACATACGCCTAACTATCTCAAGCATTTATTCTCCCGCCGATTTCTGGGATACCTGATTCAATTTCAAACACAGTCAGTCACGAACCTAATCCCAGTTGCAACATGCCTCCATCCAAGGCCTCCCGCGTGGCCAAGAGTTCCCGTGTGGTCAAGAAGCCGACTACTGCAAGCGCACCTCGAAGCAAGGCAGCCGAGACCGCGTCTTCGAAGAAGAAACAGAAGAAACGCGCCTCAGCCAAAAAGGCGAAGACTCCCAAGCCAGCTGAGACTACAATCGTCGTCGCAGGCCACAAGCGATCCATGGTTGTTGTTGAAGAAGATAGCAATGACGACGGCACGATTCAACCCAGCAAACGGCGCAGAAAGGGCGGCAACACTAACGCTCACGATTACCACGCCGTTCGCGAGAAGCCTCCGCCGCGTGATTACGGAGCAACCTTTGCGAGGAAGTCGACGGCCCATTTCACCTGGGGCGCTCCTTTGATGCCTCCTCCTCAGTCTCAATCTGCTCAGTCCGATCCGAAGAATGAGCCCGCGATTCCCCGCAACAAGGGCAAAGAGGTAGTTCGTCCCGGAAGCTGGCAGATGAGACCCAATTCAGGCCGCTACAGTGGCCTCTTATCAAGAGCAGCCACCCCGGAGTCGGAGCCCGAGCCACAGCCCAAAAGCCACACTTGCCCCTTTCTTCGAATCCCCCTCGAGATCAGGGAGGACATCTACAAGTACATCCTGGTCGCCGACGAGCCCATCCGAGTCCGGCAGGGCTGGTCCGCAGTATACCCCCGGAACAGAGCACGCATCCGCACCGACCTCATCCGAACGTGCCGCCAAGTCAGAAAGGAGGCGCTCAACACCCTCTACGGCGAAAACACGTTCCTCTACCTCCTCCGCGACGCCGTCGAACTCCCCGCGCTCAACGCGCAGGGCGAGAACGAGATCGTGGTCCAACACCCGCTCGCCACCGACAACGACGCCCTCTCTGACTACGAGGCAGACAGCGCTGACGAGTACTCTGACGAAGACGACGTCACCAACGGGCCCTCGTCGTCCTCATTCCTGGCTGAAGGTCATGCGGCGGCCGACATTGACGTCCGCCGCTTCGGCCACAAGTTCCGCAAGCTCATGATCGTCGCCGAGGCCAACCGTGCCAACGCGCCCTACCGCCTCAGCATGGCCAACGCCATCAACGTCTTCCGCAGCCTGCAGCCTATCCGCCCGCGCATCCACACCCTCACCATCGACATCACGCCCCAGCGCGACCCGCGCACGGGTGACGTCTCCTTTCTCGACTTTTTCGAGCGGTCCTCCGAGGTCGTACGCACGCTGCGCGGCCTGCCGTGTCAGTTTATCGAGATTGTCGTCAACACGGGCGTCAGCGTCGGTGGCGGCGGTGACGGTGATGGTAGTGGTAGTGGTAGTGGTAGTGTTGACCCAGGAAAACGAACAGGCCAAGAGAAAATCATCCTCAACATGAAGTACGCGGCCAACATCCGGCGCTCCAAACGCGGCGAGAACGATCCCTGGCGAGACGACCGCATCATGCAGTCGTACCGCAGCGCAAAGGCGGGCGAGGCGCAGAAGAAGCTCGATTCGTTGCCGGCTGCCATTCGCAAGATTTGGGAGGCCTCGAATGGGCAGTTCAAGCGCCGTCAGCGGGACGAGTTTGGTGACGATGAAGAGGACGATTATTGCTACGAGAACTGGGAGGATTCTCTTCTTTTTCAGGACGAGGCTTTTTGATTGCGTGGGTTTTGCTGCGTTTGGGAAGGGGTTTGCTTTGGCTTCTTGATTTTGGTTTTTGGTTCGCGGTGCGTTTCTCCGTCGGCGTACGAAAGAACTTGGGTGCCAGGTTGAGAGAGACGGCAGCATTTGGTTCTTCTTCGGATTCGCAGATGCACAGGGAGATTTTACTCCTGCAGCACCTTTGAGAGGGTGATTGGTTCATAGAGCACCCTCCACAGCGTTAAATTTCATCTTTAGACCTTAAGAAAGTGGAAGCCATTAACTCAGAATCTCCGCTCCGTCATGGAGATGTTTGCATTTCTTCCTTCGTAGCTCGAGGGTGGGGGTATATCAAATCATAAACCTTTTTTATATGCTCTCCTTCACAGCCATTCCCAGTTCTCTGTCTCTCTCTCCCTTTTCTCTTTCCCCATCATGATGCCGCTGCTGAAGTTGCCGTGATCTTGACCTTTGAAACCTCCAACGTTTCCGTGTCCACCAAAACCAGCTCCTTGGTCTCCGCAAAGGACGGCACGGTGATGAGACGGACCTGCTGCCCGTCACCTCCCTCAATGACCTTTGTCGAGAACTCGGGCTGGCAGCCGACGAAAAATAGGTGCGGCGCATTCTTCATGACGAACGGGTCGTCGTCTTGGAAGGGATAGGCCCCTGGAAATGACGGCAGTTAGTCAAATGGTCATCGTCGAATAGGGGAGTAAGGGGGAAAAGGGGCTAAGACTCACAAAGTGTATCCGGCGCCGTCGGCGCACTGCACCGCCACCTACACATGGCCTCCATCATACCCAGCCGGTCGTCGCTGTCGACGTACTTGAAGACGTCGTCGACGTTTTGGCCGCCGGTGCCGAGGACCCTCCAGCCGTCGACCTCGCCCTCCCAGGGGTTCGTCGTGGTGTCGAGCCAGCCGGGTTCCTTGGCGTCGGGCGCGGCGCAGTAGGGCCGCGAGCGCGGGAACATGGCGGCGTGGATCGGCTGCTGCGGGTAGCTCGCGTTGGCCGGGTCCTGGGGACCCGGCATGAGGGTGACGGGGAGGGAGGGGAGGAGGTCGGCGAGGAAGTCGTCAAAGAGCTGGCTCGGGAGCGGGTTGTAGGCGCTCGCGTCGTAGCCGTACTTTTTGTTGGTGGTTGAGGCTTTGCTGCTGCCGTTGGTTGTGGTTGTGGTTGTGTCGGCCATGGCTGTGGCCGTGGTGGTGTCGATGGAGTTTCCCGCGATGATGAGACGGGAGATGGTGGCGAGTTCGGACTGGGTCGTTGGGGAGAGGGCCTCGCCGAGGAGGTATTCTTGGAGGAGGGAGAGTTCGAGAGCGTAGGAGGCGTCTGTGCCTGAGAAGGAGAGGCCCGAGACGATGGCGATCTTGGAGGAGGGCCGTTTTTGGGACGGTGTGGAGGGGGTGGTGCCGGACATGTCGTGGTCTTCTGAGGGGTCGGTTGCGAGGGTCCAGCGGGTTGGTTGGGGCGCGACATCGGGGAACTTTACGTCAATGACTTCGAGCTCGCCGTTTGCGTTTTCGGAGCCCATTACGCCAATGATTGTGCCTGTGACGAGGTGGATGGACTTGAGGATGTCGCCGACGAGGCGGATGCGGCCCGAGTCGTCTTCGAGCATGATCGTGTCCTTGTCTTCGTCAGAGTAGTAGCGGTCCGTGGAGATGGGAGCAGAGATCCAACGCTGTGTTTCTTCGTTAGTCCCCAAGACTTTAGGTTGAACAGGGAGGGGAGAGGGGGAGAAGAGATGTCATGGGACGTACATCCTTGGAAACGTCCTCCAAGATATTGGGCTTCAGCGCAAGGTCCATGTAGACCGTTCCCGTTACCCAGCACAGCTCGCCCTGACGGACGTCAAGGACACGGTCCACATGGCGGGCCTCCTCGCCGCCTATGACGGTACCGTCCCAGGCCTCGGCTGCGACTGCGTCGACGGCGGGTCGGATGGACGTGAGACGCAGGAAGTAGACGTCGGCATACTGCTGCTGGTATGAGCGATCCTTAGGGAGGTCAAAGGTGCGGAGAGGTTTGTAGGATGACGGGGCGCGGGCGAGATTCGACGAGGATGCGGTTGCGTCGCTGTGGTTGGGGGGGACGAAGCTGGTTAGCGAACTTCTGGGTTTGAAGATCAATAGGGAGGGGCAGATTGAACATACGCTGGCTTTTGGAGAAGCGCGGTGGCTTCTTCGAGGGTGACCATTGCAGCAAATGCGTCGTGTGTTTCTTTTGATGCTTGCTGACGGTTGATGTAGTGTTACTGAGCTAAATAGAGCCTTTGGGCAGCGTCAATGGGCGTGGTGGACGTGTGAAGCTGGGATGTGAATTGAATGCGCACACCCGACGCGTCGGGCGACTCTGGGCTGGCAAAAGTCGCGAATTTTGGCGTTAATTGTGGTTGGGAGGGGTTGCTTCCCTGTAAGGTACCTAAGGAGCCTTGGGCTGTGGCTTGCTCCCCCGGGGAAGAGCCCCGCCCCGGTGCTTGGAGCGGCCCGGAGAGACGGTTCAGGGACTGTGCCCTCCGTCTGTCCACTTTCCAGTGGTTCACCCAACCTGAAAGTCAATTGGATGGCGGGGTTCCCTTGCAAGTTGCTCCCTGTGTGTGTCATCAGTCGCCCTTCTGGAATGAGAATGAGGGGCACTTTTTTTTCTTTTCTTCTTCCCCCGCCATCCCTCCGGACCGTACCCATAACTTGGTTGCTAATCCAATGCGCGGTAAAGTGTTAAGACACTCGGATTCTGGGCTGCAGTCCTGATCATGGGCCCAGCCCCTCGGTCTCCGTCTTCCCGTAGTATCGCCGGAGGGTCAGGTCATGACGCCTTCAGTCTGTGAGCGGTGTGAATGATCTTTTAGCCCTTGCTTTAAACCTCCCTCTCTTCCTCCCGTCCTTGAATATTTTGCATCTCTTCACGACCAAACTCGTACACTCTTCCTCTCCCATTTGTATTTACTTTCTTACACCGGTCGTTAGATTTCATTGTCGACATCCTCGATACCCCAAAACCTTCACAATGGCCCAAAAATCGCCCACAATCGAGGTGACAAACCTCAGCTACAACTTCCAAGACTCGAGCTCCGGCCTCAAGAACATTTCCCTCTCGGTCCCCTCCCGCTCCCGCACTCTCCTCATCGGCGCCAACGGCGCAGGCAAGACCACACTCCTCCGCCTCCTCGCCGGCAAGCGCCTCGCCCCGCAGGGCGGTATCTCCATCGCGGGCATCGACCCCTTCAAGGACGGCCTTGAGGGCGTCACCTACCTCGGCCTCGAATGGGTCCTCAACCCCATCGTCCGCACCGACATTGGCGTCCTCGAGCTTCTTAGGTCAGTCGGCGGCGACGCCTACCCGGACCGCCGCGACGAGCTCGTCAGCGTCCTCGACATCGACACCGCCTGGCGCATGCACGCCGTCTCGGACGGCGAGCGCCGCCGCGTCCAGCTCGCCATGGGCCTCATCCGGCCCTGGACCATCCTCCTGCTCGACGAGATCACCGTCGACCTCGACGTCCTCAGTCGCGCAGAGTTCCTCGCCTGGCTGCGCCGCGAGACGGACATCCGCGACTGCACCATCGTCTACGCGACGCACATCCTCGACAACCTCGCCGGCTGGCCCACCCACCTGGTGCACATGCACCTCGGCACCGTCCGCGAGTGGGACACGGCCGACAAGTTCATCGAGGGCCTCGACGGCTCCACGGGCAACAGCACCCTCGGCGAGCTGGTCCTCGGCTGGCTGCGCAAGGATCTCAAGGACCGCGGCCCGAGATCGCAGGCGAGGGTCGCGCCTGAAGGCAAGACGTACGCGACTGGCGGCGTTGGAGGCTACGGCGACGAATCTGACAAGCTGAAATAAGCTTTGTTCCAAGTTCGGAGCGGCGGGCGATTTCGGCTGGTGATTGGTGTGATTCAACAATTTGGGATTTCAAGATTTCTGTCTGCACTTTGCTAGAGAAAACGGCGTCTACGGCACTCAACTGCATCAGGGACGGCGTTTGTGCGTTGTTGTTTTTGGTTTTCAACATTTTGATGCAGCGACCAAGGGGTCGATCACCGCATCGGTGCGTCTTTCAACTTAGACCACGGCATACAGAGAAAGGCAACGAGGTTACGGTACGGACGAAGCGAAAAAAGGGGGGAAAACAAGAGAAGGCACTCTCAACCGGCCTTGCTCGACGGCGGCGTTTGGTCATATAGTAGAACTCTTCAACGAGGGGACGGGCACAGTCCTCATGGGCTTATTTTCTTTTAGGATTTCCACGGCTTTAGATACCCTACGTCTTCAACCGAAAAAGGGGGGCGTGACGTTTGGAAGGAGGATCAACTGTCGACTCAACTAGACAGATATGAACAAGTCATGCAATAGAATGTCGGAGAGACATCTACTCAAAAGTTGCGCTACTCATCTCCGATAAAGGGGGGTATCATAAATGCATGCGTTCCGAGCCCGTTCCTGACACAGTACCCGCCAGGCATGAGCCTAGTCGTGCTACAGAAACCTGATGTCTCTAGGTAGCACTCTTAGAGCTCATGAGGACCTTCATCGTATTTTTCATCAGCGATGGGATGCCGCCCAATCCCTTGCCCTCCAATGCTCGCAGCACAATGATCCTATACTCGGACCAAGTGATGCGCAACCCTCTTGCGTCTGCCAATCTCGCCAAACTGCTTGACGTCACCGGCCCCGCGTGTCGCGTAGATATGGCTTGCTCGTTTGCAGCTAGTTCGCGATCCTCTAGCTCGCGAATACACTCAATGGCCTGCAAGCTCAACAGCGGCGAGTAGGAGAACCCAAACAGCGTCGGAAGCGCAAGGTCCGTACCCAGGTCTTCGACATATCTGCGCAGCCGCTGCGTGACGGGGCCCGCGCTAAGGCAACCGAGAGCGTTCTTATCGCCATCGTTGAAGGCCTTGCCGCGCCATAGGCAGTTGCAAATGTCCATAAGGTACCCGTTGAAATGGTTCACGTAGCTCGGGGCATACGTTGTCGGCTGCCGCCTGGACATGGCCATCTCAAAGCCCTTCTTGTATATGGCGAGGACGGTGCTCAGGCGCGAAACGTTTGCCAGGGAGTGGCTGAAGAAGAGAAGGTAGATGAGCTGGGCCGGCGGATTGGCAATTCGGAGGAGAGGTTGAAGCGTAGGGTCAGAGATGCTGGCGGCAGCCTGCTCATACAGGTCGAGGACACCGCCATGAACAGCGGCGCTGGGGGAGGCTTGGACAATGTTGAGGGCGATGATGCTTGCGTGCTCCATGACTGCGAAAAAGGCACTGACGGGGGCATCTTTGGGTATTTGGTCGAGTGAGTTGAGAACAAAGGTCCAGCGGCGGAGGAGGTTTTGGTAGAGTTTGAGCAGTGCCAACTGTGACTCGGCCGTTGGAGGAAGGCACTTCTCTAATGGCTTCAGAATCACATTGTACAACTCTGTTACATAGTCAGCAAGTGGATGAGAAATGAGAGGTTGGACCGCTTGCCATCAAACGCCACGAGAGGCGCGTACTGGAGAATGCCGAGTATGGAATCCCGAGCATCGACGCCGTTCCATGTCGTGAATAGTTTCGTCAAGAATTGCAAGACGACCGGTGGAGTTTCCTACACAGTCAGCGAGACTCAGCCAAGGTCGATTGCCATACTTACTTTGACACGAGCCACATATTCCTTCAGCATTTCCATCGTTTCCGCAAACGACTTGTCATCGGCATTACCGTTGAGCACGTCTTCGAGCACGGCATTGATCCAATGAACCACGCGCTTCGAAGCAGCATCGTCCTTTTTCAGTGCGACGAATTTCTGCAGAAGGGGGTCCGCTAGCACAGCCGCAAGCTGGTTAGGTAGCTCAATCTTCTCGACTGTCTGAGCAAGACGATCGGCGCTGTCAATCTCTTCCAAAGTAACAGAAGTCTTTTGTACTTGTTAGCCACGCACGTCATTATCTGGCTGTGTTTCTTCCGACAGCTTACCTCTGTGGCTTCTGTAGTATAGACAGGAGGGAGATTTGACGACCGGCTGCCGCGGGCCCGTAGAGCCTGATGGTTGACGCTGAAGCCGTTCTGAGGTTGACCGGCTGCTTCTGCAGTCCGTTGAGAATGGTCTCGTTGGATCTCATTTAACCTTTCGCGCCATTCCACGTCGGGGTGCTACCAAGTCAGTACGAGTATCTCCCGAATGTCGGGGCACCTCTCACCTTGAATGCCGAAGCCCTGCCCCTCAAGGCATCGCTGACGATGATTTCAGGATAGTAGTCTTTGAAGACTCGAAGGAGCCCTGTCAATGCTGGGTCATTTCCTGTTTGCCTGGAGAGGTTAAGGCTGAGATGTGTCATTAGCGCCCGGAACCACTTGCGAGTGGAAAGGGACCAACTTACACAGCTTGGATCCTAAAGGGCCGGACGTGTTTTCTACGTGTAATCAAGGCGAGCAGATGGCAAAGTTGCGGCCTGAGGTCAAGTTAGCCCCTTTTCTGTTCGCAACAGAGGAAAAATCCCTACCGAATAGCTGCCGTATCTAGCAGGTTAAACAAAACGGCGTATGCTTGTGACAAGATGCCAGGTTTCTCGATAACATGGTATGCCATGATTAGCCATTTTAGAATGTTCGACTGCAATACCAGGGAAGGCTTCAGTTCCCCATGGCCCAGGCATCCCACAACCCTCAGGACGACATCACTGGATAGCCGAGTGGCGGGGTAGAGGTTCTTGAGTATCGTATTCAAGCTTGCCTGATCCAACAGATTTGGCCTCGTGAGCAGGTCAATGAGTTCGCTCAAGGGCTCCGGAAGAAGGCCATTTTCAGAGGCGTATGACGCGACCTTTTCAACAGTAGGCTTGATACTGGTCGCCCGCCGTTTCGTAGGCAATTTGGAAGCTATAGAAATTCAAATTGAGTCAATACACGGACTGCATGTGTTGACAGGGTTTTACTCACCCTCCACGACGTCGCCAACCAGGAGGTCAACATCAAGGTCAACGTCTATACTCATAGACGCATCGTTGGTGGGCGAGGCCATTCTATTAGGTACGTCGACGTCTTGAAATTGCGACACTCTTTTTGTGCCGAATTTCCAATGGATGGATACAGTGTGGCGACATTAGATGAGGCAGGCGGGTCAAGCGTCGTCAAGTTGCAGCATGGGTGACGGGCCCGAGCTGTCCTGAACGGTGAGTGAAAGTGACAGACGCGTCGCGGGGGTGAAGATCAAGGTGAGCGCGTTCAGACCGGGAAAATTGCACCGTGCACTCGGACCTTGTCTCTTTTGTGGGACCATTCCCCTATTGGCTGCATGGAGCCGGTATGGGTCCGTTCTTCGGCGCCCAGCGTCCGGGGTCAGTGGCCGGAGCAAGCTCCATCCTCAGCAATTCGCTAAAACAGATGCAGACCCAGAGCCGGAGCAGCAGCATATGCGTGGTCCTACTCTGGAGTCTGTCTTCGTACAACGGTACTCCTTACAAGGTGCCGGATTCGATGTGGGGGTGCTTTCGGTCAGCAGTGTCCGTAAGGAGCGCGAATGTGCGCAGGACAGGGAGGCATCAGCAGCAGCACGCCTCGGTGAAGGGTTGGGCGAGGCCGGGCGAGGCCAGGCGAGAGCCCCTGTGTTGTTGCACCAGTGTCTAGGTCCTGCGGGTAAATGAAGAGCCTGCAGAGAAGGCATGCCATGACCTGAGAATCTGACCACCGTTGAATTTGCCCCCGTGCTGATTGATGGATATCTGCTTCGGTACGAATACGGCCTTTTGGTGATTTGGACCCCAAAACTTCGTCTCTATGGGCGGGGGGGAACAGCAAACGGACAAGCCTCAGCAGTTGCAAAAGACGCTCATCGGTCTGGGAGTATCCAATTGCTTGCCATTGACGTCGTGGCAAACCTTCCGGACCGTAAGCGGCGCATATGCCGTCTTGGCTGCCATGGCTGCCGCTCATTTGGTCTCTGGGGTCCATAGCGGGGGGACTGATGTGAGATATGAGGTGCAGTCATCCAAGAGTCGAGAGTTGCAGGCTTGCAGCAGGTTCATGAAAAAAGATGACGAGGACGATTCGGCTCGGGATGCGAATCATGTCGTTTCTACCCGGCCTGCGCCTGACTTTTACTTCGCGGCTACGGGGTTCGGGTAAGAACTATCGACAAGAGGCAGGTACACATGCAGGGTAATGGCAAAAGGGAAGGAAGAGGGATATTCATGGTCTTATTTGGGGTTACACAAGGCAACTTGAAAGTATCATTTGCTGCAACCGCGGTCTGCAACTGGTTAGTTACTAGGAGTGAGGAGAGAGGGGAGAGAGAGAGGCATTGGCCCCAGTAAGGTAGGAAGATATTAAAGTGGACTTGCTTACACAGTACCTTAAGGCGCATGATGCCCATGTATGTCAGGGTACCTCGACATGGCTTTCCGTCTTTTGGCATGGAGACAAATGACTCTGTTTCTTTTCATCAGGGAAAGTCCGAGGAGAGCGTGAGATTATGCGACGAACAGGCAAAAAGTCTTGATGTCCAAGGTAGGTAGGTACCTAGACTTGTGTATCTTACGGATAGGTACGAATACGGCACGAAGAGATGACATCTTGGACGGTTAACTACCTTAGGTACCGTACGTACGTGCGTACGTTTCCGTACCGCATACCCGTTCCAGAAACGCCCGTGCTCACCGTTGTATACCTCCATCCCGACGCTCCGTCCCGCCAAGTTCCTGCGTAACTTCTTACCTCGCGCCTACTACCCACGGCTACCTTAGTTGCTTACCTTGCTTTCGCCAACGTCTCTCTCACGGTCTCACCGTAACACCAACACTGCTTGCTTACCTTGCCTTACCTTGGACAACTACTGCGTGGTGTAGCTGCCTCTCGATGACAGGGTTGCTTCGAAACAACTTGCAACCTCCAACAGTCGCATCCTGCAGAAAATACAACTGGCTCCAACATTGCCCTCATCTGGTCAAGCTCGCTGACCGAGGCGTCAGAAGCGCCTCATCCCTAACATAATCTACGCAGTAGTGCCATCTTTACCTGCCGTTCCACAAACCGGCTACCCAAATGCCTCGCAAGAATCCTTCTATCCTCCGGCCCCGTCACATCCTTTCCTGAGGTCCAGTGCTTCTTACAAACCTCCACCTGGGTGCGCGAGGTCATTCTCGCCTCCACTCCTGACCGCATGTTTCGTACAAGACCACGGTGACCGAGGTGTCGATTCAGGTCTCATGACGCCTCGCTGCACTTTGGTCTGGTCACTGACATCGTTCCAGGTCCGCATCACTACTGCCTACTACAACAGACTGGTCTGCCTAGGACAGACTGGCCATCTCCGGGCCTTTCACAGTTCTTCCAACTTCTCGTACGCCATGTTACGTCTCTCCCTTCCCTTGTTTGACCAAATCATTGGAGCGACGACTCTGTTCGCCATATGTCTTTCGAATTTCTGGCTCTGTGCCTCACATATCATTATCAGTCGCGGCCCGATGTCTCCACAGCCGAGAGAGGACCGAATGAACCTGGGCATCGCCCCTGTTTGTGCCGCCTTTTCCTCGTCCCTTTTCGTCGGTAGGATTCTCCCGGTAAACCCTATTTTTCACACCCTGACAAGCACACAAACTCCCCCCAAAGCCGGCCCTGCCAGAACTACGCAGTCTCCTATATTTCCCTGGACCTTCTACTTTCAGCGGGCCTGTCCAGGGCATTTGTTGGTTGAGAGCTCCAAGAACCACGGCCACGGATGGTACGCGACGATAGCAAGCTGCAAGCGGGCTTCCACTAGTAGCAGCGACTTTGCTTGGGCGAATGGCCGAGACAGACCGCATACACCGATAGCTGATATTGTTCCGTATTGACTTCTCTCCTTGGCTGACCGGACCACCTTCACCCACTGTCGTGGGGGCTTTGCGGCCTTCTATGACAGCGTAGTGTGCCTTGAGGTCCAATCTATCGTTGTCATGGGCTTGGCTCTGTGTCACCTTTCGGCCGCCATGTGTAGTGGCGTCTGCTTACCGCAGTGCCCATCTCACCTCACCTTACGGGATACCTTACCTCGAGGTGGTCACTATACGCCGCGCGCCGCATGCCGGACGCCAATTTCGTCTGCGGCAACGTTGTGTAACCTTCTCTAATAACCCTCATGTTGCTAAGTGGCACTTGCAAGGCTCGGTTGGTGGTCAGCACATTGAGGGAAAAGATCCGTCCGCCAACGTTCCGTTACCCCCCTCCCATCCATGATCCAAGAGCAACTTCATCCAGAGTACCTAGTAAGCTAAGGGAGACGGACGTATCACCGCTCCGTACCGCGCCGGTTACATTGGATCCATCCGTCCATTCATCCTTCCCTCCCTCCCTCCCACCATTCCTCATCCCACGGGTACACACACTCTATCCTTACAACCAACTTGGCTATTGCATCAGTCAGACGAGTGTCCCCCAGACCAGGAACCACAGAGCCCTTGATTTGGTAACCTGCTACAAAGACCCACCACCCACGGTGAGAAAGCGTGTAGGCCCCTCGACCTCGACCTTAACCACTGGGCGTCTTTTCACCTCGTGTCCTACCTTGCCTTGCTCGTTCTCACATACCCATCTCTTCCCAGCACTCAAGTTATGCATCCGCTGATGATGCCTCCATGCATATCCTCTTTCAAGATTTCCCCCTCCATGTCGCCCATCCGTCCCCATCTTTGTGCGAAATCCGGCTGACTGGCTGTGCTGTGCTGTCCCTTCGGCCTTGTTGTGCCATCGGCCGGTCGCCTCTGCTGCACACCCCACTCTCTCTATGCTGCCCTCATGCACTTCCTCCCACACCTATCAAGTTAAAGATCTCTGTCGAGTCTATCGCCCTCTTAGACGCCGCCCCTGCTCCCAGCCCTTCGAGGTATGTGTAACCAATCCTCGCGTTTGGAAATATGTGTCTTCTAACATTTAGTCTGGTTACTCCCTCAAGACTTGCTCGCTCGAATGCCAGGTGCCATCGAGTTGATTGACGTTTAGTCTCGTTGAATAAGTTGGAGGCCAACAACAGACAGCGTTTCGCGACAATATCGAACAATCGAGTATATACTTCTCATACGTAACCTGCTATCGACATTTATCCCGGTCTCTTCTAGCAACGCAGAGAACACACTGGACCATTCTAACTCACGTCTTCCTCGCCTTGACGTGCCCTAGTGCTTATCGTCTTACATCTAACCCATTACTCAAAACCTCTCTACCTAAGACTGTCTCTTTGACCAGCCGAGAACCACTTCGATATCAGACGACTGCGCTTCTGGGTCGGCTCATCGTTAGGAGCCGCAGTTATCGTGCGCTGGTTCGTAACATCGTAGCAGGGTGGACCTAGCGACGGGACGAGCAGCAAACGAATCGTCTCATGCCGTTCGCACGGAATTCCTCTTACGCTGGCCTAGTAAGTCCAGAAGCCTTCGATCCCTAATCTGACGCTTACTCACCTTACACGGCGCTAATTTGTGTAACCACGCGCTGACTTGACATAGGGATGAGCTGAAGAGACCGCACTTGACTATCTCCGCCATGAGGTATTCTCCGGAAATGCAGATCGATCACCATGTCACGTCCAAGAAAAGCCCGAAGTCTACACAAACCACTCCAACCATGTTACTATGGGACCGACAAGACTGCATCCCCTTGAGAAGAATTCTATCAGAAGACGACGTAATCGTCCTGCTCACGCCTGTTGTTGTTCCTCACAACAGATTCGCAGACAACGACAAGGATCCTTTCGAACCGTTGGGCCGTGCCATTGCTTCGCGGCACTCATTGGTCCGCCATGTTCCATACACGAAAAGAGGCGGCATCACCAATATTCACTACGAGTTCATCAAAAGGGCAAAAGCAATCGTCTTTGTTATCTCTGGAGCCCATGTGGACGATGATGTCTCGCAAATAGACTTGGCCGACGCCGCACGAACTATGGCAGACGAGCGGCCGCAGATCATAGTAGCCTGCTGCAACCTCCAAACCCAGAACCTCCACGTCGATCACTTTGCTACGCTTGTGCAAATCGCAGGCTACTCGCCATCTGAGCTGGAATCTGCTGCTTCTATCATCTTTGACGACGTTCGTCCACCAACCATCAGCTCAGTTCCCGTACAGAACCTCATCATCGCCCCAAGAGCTTGGGATGTCGAAGTCTGTGGTATCGATATGGGCCCTGTCCATCAGTTGTGGACAGAATGCCTTCCGCCCAAATTTCACCTTCCGCAGTATCAGCTTGTCCTGCTCCTTCAGAGAGATGGCTTCTCCAGGCATTACGTCGTGCGCGAACCAGAAAGCAAGCAGATTGTGGGCTTTTGCGCTACATTTACCACATATCCAGATGGGGGCCAAGAGAATCTGCTCGGCTCGCTAGCCGTGTTGATTGTCAAGAATTCATTTCGCGGAAGGGGGATCGGATTAACACTTTATAACTACGCCCTAAAACAGCTCCAGAGAACTCGGGGCGTCAACAGGCTACAACTGGGATCAGCCTTTCCACGTCTCTTCTACGGCGTGCCGTTTGACTTTTTCTCAAGAGATTGGTTTTCACGCCGAGGCTGGAAAATGGATGGATTTCAACCTGGCCAAGGGCAGGAGGTCTCAGACTGGCTCCTCAAATTTGAAGACATGCCCGCGAAAAGCTTTTCGTCAGCTGGACTGACTTTCAGGCGATGCGACATGATGGAGTACCACCAGGTTCTCGAAATCGTCAGTCGAGACGCGGCTCGCAAAGACAATATGGGATGGTACGACCAATACTACAACCTGGACGGCACGCCTCATGTCGAGGACATCGTCCTTGGTATGGAAGGTGATACTATTGTAGCTGTTGCTTTGACCTACATTCCCAATTCTGGGAGTCCAGCCGGCAACGACCTGCCGTGGGCGAAATCCATTGGCGCGGATGCTGGGGGAGTAACCTGCATTTGCATCATAGGTCTGTGGTCACGCTGAAGATCTCTAGTGGCTTTCCCTGCTGACTCTGGATTCAGATGACCATCCGGAAATGGTGAACAGCCGGGATTCTGTGATGATCAGGCTGCTCGATACATGTGTCAAGTTGTTGGCTGAGCAAGGCATGCGACAACTATTCATCGACGGCATGAAGGGAGGGGATGATGGTTTTCAATCTCTGGGTAAGTGCAATGATTGTGCGAGAAAGCATCCTACTAAATTGGCCAAAAAGGTTTTCGACAATGGGCGCGATACAAGGAAGTTTGGCGAAAGGTTTAATATATGCCTATGAATCCCGTCGGCCAGCAAACGCTACACCAAGATGCGGTATCCCACAAAGCTTTGCAGGAGATACTCAGCAGTCATTGAAATCCTCGCCGCAAGATTACAGACCGGAGGATGTCAAATCCCGAACCTTTTTTTCCACCTTCAATGGAGGAACCGAGCCATTGTCGACGCAAGCTGATAAACATTGGCAGTTCGTATTGGCTCGTATTGAAGGAGGCCTGGATAGTCAAATCGGCACCAGCCACCAACGCGTATCGAAATCGAGGACTGCTGTTCGAGATACTGCGTATTAATACCAGCAAAAATTTATAAATTCAGCAACGGCGTGACTTTTTTTTCAATGCGACTTCAGACAGAGGACTTTGCGATAGTCAGCAGAGTGCCCAATCGCGCTTCTTGGCTTGCTGACCATGTCTGACACTGGCACATCATGAGCACTCGTGGCACCTATCATGGCCATCCTTTCGGATGTAGATGCTCCTTTTTGGCTCTGCTCAAGTCGAACATCCATGTACCACCCTCCAAAAAACTCACCTTCCCCGCGCCACGTTTTATTCATTGTTACATTGAGATCAAAGACACGCGTGTAGCGCGATCTTCTTTCTAAGTCTTTGGTGGGCTACATATGCATGAAGCTTGTCGACAATACAAGGGTCCAAGAGCACAAGGCACGTCCGACTGGTCAAGCATGCTAAACAGCTAATTGGTTGATTCGCAACCTTTAGCCCTGTTCCGACTATCCCGATGAAGATGGACCACCCAGCCTCAGAACTTCCTCTTGAACGTTTCGATGTCAAAAGAAGCACAGTCTCAGTCGGAGGGCATTTCGAATACCGAACTGAATGCGCTGATAAGAGCTCATCTCACCGGCGCCCATCAGAGGCCTTTTGGGCAGCTTTTGAAGCACAACTCTGATCTTCACATTGTCAACCACAATGAGTAGGAGGCCACTGACGCCCAACCGACGATCACGAAACAGGTGCGCCATAGCATCATGGTGTTGGCACCGTCGATCACGCAGACCGAATACCGGGGAAACTTGTCTTGAATAGATTGACCCTCGAGCTCCAAGCCAACTGAAGGAAGAGAAGACTCAATGGTCCGACATATTCCAACACACAGACCCTCCGGTTTCCATTGCATGGGCCCCGGGCCCAGGATATGCAAAACTGCAGATTTTCCACGCTCCCTTGACTTCCTTCGACTAAGAGTTCAAGGGGGAAGAGAAACTCGGTGGATTGTTGACCGGGAGCAGCCGAACCAAACCGACAACTCCTTTAGCGTCCGCTATCCCGGTCATGTCGGCGGGGTTATCTCCGTTTCACGGCCCAACAAGTCCCTTTGAGTAATATGGCAAGTTGGCAAATGGCAACCAACCGACTACCCTGGTTCCCCAGATCCCTGGTCACAGGTACCGTCTTTTTTGGTGTCAGAAATGCATGCACGTTGGATCACACCCAGCAACGGCATAGTAAATTTGTCCTGTTAAGCAATTGGCCCCCCTCGCCTAAACTTGCCGAATAACGAGTAAACATTCCCAGCTTCTGCGCAGCCTGATATAGTATCCGGCACAAAACGAGGTAAAAATGTTGACTTAACGCCATTTGTCCCCGGGAAGCTGACCATGATTTCACTAGGGTTTATATCCGTATCAACTCGACGAGCTTCAACGCCAGACAGCCTACAACTTGCGTCTTCTAAGTGGTCTGGCATGAAGATGAACTTACCTAAGGCGTACATAACGGTAGCCGCAAACCGGTCCACTCCTGCCAGAACGCCTACCGTGAACCACACGGCTGACGAACCCAGCTTCTGTTGGCGCAGAGTGGTGTAGCGTAATAGGCACACTTGCTGACGTGGTCGCAGAGGCAGGCCAGAAATTTTGGAGACGAAGCTCTTTTTTTTTTTTTTTTTTTCAGACCCCAAGCGGCACAGCCAAGGTCGGGAAAGCCCCATAAACCTCGGGCGTCGTCGATGTGTGCCTCTTACTCTCACCGCCGATCCAAGCACGTCTTTTGGTGTAATCGTCAAATAGCAAGTCCAGCTACGGCTCTATCAAGCGGACTAGTGCGCGCGCGCGCGCGCGCGTGTGTGTGTGACGGACTTACTTCTCCTTCATGTTTACCGACGCACCAAGAAGGCCATCCTATCCCAGCCAGCACCAAACTGACGAAAAGCTGACGCGCAGGAGCGCAAAAGCCAGGGGTGAAATTGCGACGGCCTGTGGGTGAGAAAAAGGAGGGGGAAGGGAAAAGGTGGGCAATGCCGCCGCATGCCTTTGAGCGACCGCCACGAACACACCATGGGAATGCTCGGCAACCCACTGGGTTATCTGCCTGTGCGACCAGAGACTTCCATAGGATCGGGCGCTTGATGCGGCAAAGCGGGCACGACGTTATCGGCTCTTTATTTATGCAGTAGGTAGTGTAGATAATTCCCCAATACTGTCGATCGAGAGATGCCGTGGTAGCTAGAAGCACATGGAGGAAGGAGTCTCCGATGGTAAGCTGGCTGGTGGGCGCGGATCTTGCGCCGCTATCGAATTACCAGCTGCCTACCTCCCCTCCCTCCCCTCAATCACAAAAACACAAAGGAGAATCGGGACTGTCTTCCATCTTCAGTTGTCTACTGGCAAGTATTCCCGCCGACTTTCCAGATCCCGAGGAGCTGGGAGCCCTACCTATGTCGCACCGTCGCCGGACGTAATTGGCCACTGCACAAAGCCCGTTTTTCTTCAATACTTGGATCCTCGAGGCGCATCTTCCGGACAAAAGTCAGGATGGCATCTGCCCTTGGTTTAGACGTTTCCATCATCTAAGAGAAGGGATCGATCTGTATCATCACCTCGTGAACAGAGTATACATACAAATGGGGGCCTGACGTCGGTATCCGAAGATGGAATCGGAGGGTTGCCGAGTAGCCGAACGCCCTTGCAGGACGCTGAAAGCTGAAAGCGGACGACGGCATGGAATGTGCATATGCATTTGCCTATCTAAATAGCTATGCTCCCATCGTGACGACTGAGTCAGTGCCGGAGATTAAGATAGTCAAAGCTGATATGAATGACCAAGAGGTCTCAGATGCAAGGAGACCGTCATCACTTTGATAGGTTTGATGTGAAGCCGAGAGAAAGGGAGAGGGGGGGGGGGGGGGGGAAGGGCTTTCCTTCACAAGTTCACATGGACTCGAGTGGTAGTCACTCTTGCCAAGGTAGAAGGTTGAACAAAAGATCAAACTGCGTACCCTGTATACTAAGCCGCCAAGATGTTATCATCTTTGCTCAAACGTGATCAAATGGAGGCTGTGAGGTTCTTTTCCTTGGCGTCGTGGCAGTCTATGCCAGAGGATACTGATACGAGGGCTCCAGAAACAGATAGTGATAGCTCACTATGGAATCTTCGAGCTGTCAAGAAAAAGGCGAGGTATTGAGGAAACCCTCGGCGAAGGGGCAGTATACTACTGCGAGTCCAACAACATTTATATGGTATCAAAACTTAATTTCGAAGCAGGGGTTGTTAATAGGTCTACAGAGAGAGACCCTCATGAGGATTAATTAAGATACGCTTAGTTGTAAAGGTAGGACTCGATTCAATCCCCCGTATCGAACAGAATAAGAAGGAAGACAGTTGAGTGATGGAATCATTGTTTCTTCGCAAAGCTCTCTCTCCCTCTCTCTCTCCTAGAAATGCAAATGTTTGTCTTGTTGTGGATGAGAAATCCGATTATTTTTTTCAGGGCAGAGTTCCATTGAGATTTTACCCCTGATACAACGTTCCAACGCCAAGCCCCATGGACCAACGAAAAACGGTGTTGACTCGGTACGAACCGTATAAAACAGTTGGCGCGGTTTGTTACGTGGCAGGATTGCCGACCTTTTGGCAGCCTAAAATCGCAATTCTGGGTCTGGATCGAGTTGGGCCGGTAGGACATTGAAAGTGTTCTTCATCGTGAGTTGAATCTGGTGGGATATGCCCGAGGGCGTTTGAAGGCGCCTAGTGCGCTACATACACTTTTGAAAGACAGCTCCATTATATCTACCTACCTTATCCAGAGAAGGCTTTTTAAAAAAGGAGGGGGAGGTCTTATCTCGAAAGCCACGTTCTCTGAAAGAAGAAAAACCTTGTCCTACCATTTGCGAAATCTAGAGCGGTCGAGGGGGGGATTAGTTAGCCAATGAGCGTCGTGATGGATGAAAATGGGCTGGGCGTTGGAGGGGAGAGGGGGGTGCGGGATCACAACGTCGATTTATACAATTTTGACTTTTTTGGACCACGGGCCTAGAACGTGGTCTATTGTATCTTGGACCGATATCGTTCGTGTGCTACGTGTGTAATTGAGAGGAGGGGTAGAGAGAGAGAGAGAGAGAGAGAGAGAGAGAGAGAGAGAGAGAGAGAGAGGTCTGCGAGGTCTGCCAGGTAGCCTGTACATTGATCGTGGGAATTTGGGTGGCGTTTAGCTTTGAAGTTTGGAGTCTGTGGCATTCTTGGCTTTCGTCCCAGCTGTTCTGTATACTTGATCCTATAGACGCCTTCATGTTGTCTAGCGGGTCGTTGCTTTTTCGATATAGTCTGGGCAAAGGAGAAAAAGGACGGGAGACTGGTCGGGGGAATGAGAAAGCTGTAGAGCAAGGTCTTCTTGGTCGGTTTTCTTGTCGCTCGATTGAGTACCCTTGCGGTCACAGAAGTTGGTGATTGACGCCTTTTTCGGTTCAGATGGCTCTTTGAGACGCAAGCTGTCGATTTGCAGGTTTGTACAATTTGACCATGTGTTTACAAATTATGGTTGTGTATACAAGACGGTGTTATTGTAAAGGAAAGACGAAATCGGCAGACCTGCTATGCGAATTGTGATGCGAGATTCTGCTGCTATCGCAGTTGCCAGTATTTTTGACCGATACTCAAAGCCTACACATCCTGTGAAGAAGGCCCGATGATCTACTTTCACAATGCAAAAGATGTTGATAGTCTCTCCTCCCTTGTAGAGTCGATTGCGCCGGATTTCAATGGTGTTTCTCGAGTCATCTCGCCGTGGATTCGTAGTCAGTGGCTCTGGAGAAGGTCCAAAATGCCAATAGGCATGTAGTACATCTTTATCAGGTGGGAAGTCTCCATCGACCTAGCGGCATTTGTATCAAGGTAGTAGACAAAGAGGCATCGAATGGGCAATCGGATCACAATGCGATACTGTGATGAAGTGCGATCAAAGACGATACCCCAATCGAGAGAGCACGCGAGAGAGCAGCGTCTAGAAGACTGAAGTAGGAAACATTGAAACGCCAAGAACCATGACTCCATTGTTTGAATGCGGCAATCCCCTTGTTTCTCAATCGATGGCGGTGTGTCTGCTGGATAAACGTCCAAACCCGATGTTCTGGTCCAGAGGACATAGGAAGTGGGCACGTTTAGGTTGAAGCCGAATGCCAAAGAAACGGTACACTAATTTGAGGGGGCTAGAATTGGAGTAGGATGACCGTCATTGAGGTAGTCTGCCCTCGATCGTATCTGTTTTGGACATCTATCAAGTTGCATCAATCGTGGTCGATTGTGGTGGCTGTCAGCCACGAAAAGGCTGAAACTGAGCATGCGGAATACTAAGCAGGCATATATTTATTGCCACTTCGGATCGTCCAGGTGTTTCTCCACGAACTTTGGTGATGCGCGACAATGGCTTCGGAAGAGGCAAGCTACAGCTGTTGTCTCAGCCGAGCTGGTTCCCCTATGATCGAGTCCATTACAACCTTGTCAAGTATGCCTCCGACCAGCGCCAAGACGATGTGGCGGAAGCGTACACTATACCAGACGATCGGGTTCGGACGTTGCTGAGTTACTACCCAGATCAGTCGTCTGTCCAGTACTTACTCAGATTAATTGAGCCATGTTTACGACTGTTTCTATGAAGACTGAAGCAATATCTTCACTTGATCGCGATGCCGCGTCATGACTGATGGTTACGCATTTTGTCTACGATGACAAGGCGGAAGCGAAGCCCCATTGAGCGATCCACGTCGCTACTGCATCTTCTTACTTGGCGTATGGGCTTGAAAGAAATTGAAAACCTGCAACATCTGGTAGCTCTTCGCCTCCGCGGTGTGCTGTTGCGAATCATTCTGGACGTGGGCGGGGGAATACAAAGGCAGACTTCTCTACCGTTTGATGGGCCGACAGCTGACTCGAGTATGATGCTTCGTTATATTCCCTCATCCATCCGAAACTGTGAAGTACGTCAAAGGTGGCTGTCGAATGCGCTCGATTTGTTCTTCATAGTACTTGGACCTTGCCTCGAAGTTGATTGAGTAACGTCGCCGGGTCGCACAAAAGACTCCTGTCGATGTTGTGGCAACTGTGTGGTAACGCGGTTTTCTCAAGTTTTGGAGTCGCAGTTGCCACCAAAACCGTAGCGGTAGCTTTCATTGAATTTTCCAATCTTTTGTGGAGAGAGCAGAGCAAACCGCCCCGGGAAATCAACCGAATAATCCTCACTGGTAAAGAGATGATGACGCGAACGGCGCTGGTTTTCAGGCGCTGAAGACATTCGGTACACCTTCCACCTTGCATGGAAATGAAGCCTCGCGGTTTTGTAAAAGTAAATTAAGCGCAGCTGCCTCGTTATGAACAGAAGAGCCGTGGCCCAAGGACCAAGTGAATAATGGTACGGGTTAGCAGTGGAGCCACACAATACACACATGGGATTCCATCCTCAAAGAAGAAGTGGGAAGGGTCTTTTTTTCGTATCAAAGTAGCCTACACACAAACGGGTACTCGGAAGATCCCGCAGAATCATTGAAGAGAAAGAAAAATAAAATAACTTTTGATGGTATTCGAGCCCAAGGATCCGCCGACACCCCTTTTTTACCCCTCGCTCCTTTTTGTCAATCAAGTCGTCAAAGACTCCGTATGTTTTGGATTTCGTTTGTGTTCTCGTCCGCCATTAGGTTTCATTCCGAATTTGTGCCCACGCCTGGTTTTTTTTTCTTTTGTTCGTAAGGTAAAGGTAGAAGCTTGAGAATATCCGTGCTTTATGCCCACTTGGAGAAGTCCACGGATTCAACTAGGGCATCGAGTCCGTTTACTGGTGAAACTTCCGTATCGTTGGTAGTGGTAGAGAGCATAGAGCTCCGGTGGCTGGTCTGCTCGCTGGTGCTCGTGAAAAAGGTTGCGACCGAGGACCTGCGTAGACTGCTGAAGCTGTCGCGCACATTGGCCGCAGATTTGGACGCATCTACGCCTTGTGCTATGAGGTGATTATTGCCCAGGACTGCGCCGCCCAATGACGAAGGCGGCGGCGAAGGTGTCGAGATACTGTTCAGGTGGCTCAAGTGTGGATGCGACGATTGGTGGACGGTGGTAGTGTTATTCTTGGGGCCGTGTTTGTCTCGCAACTTCTTAATCTCTCTGAGCCTGTTGCGCCAGGAACTGACATGCTCGCCACCCTCGCGGTTTGCCCACACCAGACAAAAGACGGAGGCGTTGAGGGCCAGAAGTCGGATGAATCCTGGCAGAGCCCTCAGGCTGACCATCTTTGTCTCAGAGGCTGGCGAGATTTCGGGAAAGCCGGGTTTGCTCATCACCTGGACTTTGTAAAACGGCGGATGTTTCCCTTCGCTCGGCGGGTTTTCTCTGATGGTGAGGAATGACGCCCTTGCCTCTGGAGTGATGACGATATTGACGTAGTTGAACTCACTCGGGAAAGTGTCAAATCTGAAGGGCATACCAGAGTCGTTGAAAATGATGTTGACAAAGTCGTTGCCAATGTGCCGCTTTTTCATAATGACTTGAGGGTCCCGCTCAAGGTTGGTGGGCATTTGTGTGATGACATGGAACACCATTTCGGTTACTTTGTCGCGCCAGCAAAAGGTGTACTCGCCATCAGTGTCGTACTCTCTGTCGAGTCCCTGGGTATTGAACTTGGACCCTTTCAGCCTCGTCAGAGCGCCTAAACCGTTGAGAAAGGCCACATAATCGCTGCTACCCGAGACATTGGCAAGAATCTCCGTCTCCTCTGTTTGGCCCTCACCAATATACACCACTCCAACCTTGTGGCCGTCTACGGTTGAGCTGCGGTCAAAAAGACGGACCGTTCGTTGGGTCGGTTCATCGTTGGGGAGAGGAATAGGCCGGGCAGTATCCTGCGTTTGAGGCGTTGAAGTCATCAACTGCACCATCAAGTGGCTGGGAAGGATATTGTTATTGGTCACTTGGCCGTCTCTCGAGACATCAGAGATGTACTGGGCTTGGTGGGCTGGGCGTGGTCGGAAGTTCTCATGCACAATGTAGGAGGACGTGCCCGATGGTTGCCGCTTCGTGATTTGTGACCACCCAGTCGTCGTCGATTGCTCAATCGTCACAATGCTGTTGCCCATTAACCATCTTCGCTTCAAAATTTCCCCGAACCGCTCCTTAGTAAAGAGAAGGTCCTCACAAGACTCATCGGCGTCTGCGTAGGCGACCCTTTGCATGAAATCAAGCGTGACAAGGGCTTGCTCTTCAGGGTTCTGCCCACCGTCAACGTCGCTGAGCAGGTTCTTGGCAATCCAACCGACATGGTTGGCACGATCTGGAAGCTTCAAAGCCAGGAACCAGAACGTGATGACGTGGTACGCCAAAGCATACACATACTGAGGCAGATCGTCTGCAGCATTCGGATGCAAAAGGTCCGAGGTGGACCCCGTCGGTGTTGCTGTTTCGCTATGTAGACTGCCTCGTTGGGTTTGCTTCTTGTCGCGCACGTACTGGAGATAGCGAACACAAATTCCAAACACAATGCGGTACTCGTCTTCTCTGAAGTTGACATAGAGATTTTGCATTCTGCTCAAGCAAGCGAGGAACTCCAAAATGTGCATTGCAACGTGGGGCTGTGTAATGATTTGTGCCATCTTCTGCAACATCTGCACCAAGGTTTTGCTGGTGGACAGAGGCAGCTCGTGGCAACAAATTGACAGCGCGTGAATGCAATACTTTGCGCATCGCTCCCAGGTCGAAATACCCTTGACGAATGCCTGCACAATCTCGTCCTCTTGGTCCTTTTGGAAGTACTCGTGGTAGCTGAGAATCATTGTCAAGGTATGGAACAGACAAATAGCGACATCGGCGCGTCGCAGGCTTGTAGAGTTTGGCGGTTCTTGGAAGTTGTTCGTCCTGATTTGCTCGCATGTTACTCGTCGAAGCTCTTGAATCTGCGGCACCGCACTGCGGAAAATGGCGTGGTTGGTCAATTGCGAAGGCAGATGAACCAATACCATGCTGTAGATCTCCCATTCACTGCCACTTTCAATGATGTGTACAATCGTGTCAAGCCAAGAGTCCATGTTCAGTGCGATCTGCTTCGTCTCCACGGTGGATGGTTCGTTTTCTTCTGTGGCCTCTGGCTCTAGGTCCTCGACGAATGATACCAAGATAGGGCTCGCAATCGCCGATGGGGACTCGGGCAATGCCTCAGGGTCAGGCAACGCCCAAAGTTGTTTGTATGGATAGGATGATTTTGCCCCGCTGGCGGAGCGGATCGGAAATACTCTCTCTTGCGTTCCTGAACTACTGAAGGATATTCCTCTCGTAGAACGGGAGACAGCGCCCATGTCGGCCCTACTGGGTCTTGAAGGTTGAGATGCGTCTTCAGAATGCTTCTTCGCCCGAGAAGAAGCTGTGTGGAGCAATGCCGCCGCGAGACCGTCGGATTCTGTGTCGTTTATCAGGAAAACTCGATTTGCCCAATCCGCTCGAAGTCGGAATAGTAGCTTCATGGCAGTCAGCCGGGCATCAGTCTTGCAATGGCTCGTTTTCGCGATATTGACCAGTGTGTCAAAGAGTTTGAGGGTCTTGGGTCCGTCCAAATTCATACAACGCATGAATAGCTTGACGTATCCTCTTGTCACGACCCCGGAGGACGTGTAACTCTTGGGAGGAGTCACTGTTTCGCCACTAACGGGAGTCGTTGGGCGAGACGCGGACGACGCGATGGGCGATAAGAGACGGTCATTGACAACAATTGTTCTGAGGGTATCCGTAATGTAGTTGAAGAGCTCCAAATCTGAGGAAACGGCGACAGAAACCATGAAAGCCACTACAGACTCGAGCACCAGGAGGTTGGTTTCATCGGCAATATTGTTGAGAAGGTCCTTGATCAAATTCGGAACACAGTCGTCGTCGCCGAGCCCTTCACCAATGAGGTCCAGCATATCATAGGACTCCGTTACGGCCTGGAGAGATAACAGGCGGGTCTCGGAGCTGCGACTCCTGTTTGCGTAGAACTCTTTAAGGACCAAAGCCAGATTCTCTTCCCATTGTAAGTCCGAAGGCGAGCAGCATCTGAATTCCTGGAAGTAGGTGAGAACGCAGCGCGCTGCCGAGTCTGGAAGTCTAGTGTGGATATCGATGAAGAATCTTATGATGATCTGTCGCGGAACGAAATCACCCGACTTTTGCGCAGCCAACTCCTCCAGGCGCGCAATGAGCTTCAGCAACTCGATCCCTATTGCGCCATCTGGACGGTCAGGCTCATTTGCGAGGGCAATCATCTCGCTGTTGACGAGAATGCCCGACGGTGCCTTTTTGGAGCATTCCGCAGCAATGTTGAAAAGCGTCGACCAGTCCTCCTCAATGATCAGATGGTGAATGTTGCCGGCGCCATCCCGGAAAAGAGAATTGATCAGCTTGAGTACAGCACAGTGAACTCGGCCGGAGTCGGTGCTGTGGACAGCTGCGACCAATCCATCGAGGAGGAGTGCAAAAGGCACGGGCGGATATCCCTTCTCCGTGTTTTTCGTCAATAGCTTTTCGAGAACAGCCAACACGCCTCGAATATCTCTCGTGTCTTTCCCCTTGCTGGTTCCATCCGCTGGAAGATTCCGTAGTAGGTCTACAAGCACCCTCACTGCTGCAGGGCCGTTGTGCGATTTTAGGAGAATGGATATTGTGTGCCAAGCGATCTTGGACAAGCTCGGCACGAGGCAGAAGATGGAACCCAGAACCAGGACGCACTCCTTGAAGCTTGCAGTGGGCAAAGCACCAAAAGTTACAATCGTGTCAATGACGTTGATGGACGCTTTCAGATCCTCTTCGATGGTCGTGGTAAGACAAACGGCGACCAGAACTTTCATGAGATCAGTCATGGACTTCTCGTTGGCCACATTGGAACTGAACTTGATAATATCGCCGATGAATTTGAAGAGCTGGTGCAGGTTCTTCTCTTCTCCAGCGGCAGAGAACCTTGCCTTGCCAGCGTTCTTCTTGGCATCACGGCTAGCTTGCTTCCTTGCCGCTTTGACTGCCTGGTAGGCTTCGCGAAGCCACACTTCAAGTTGCGGAATTACTTGGTAGTCGAACCCGGATAAGTCGCGGCCGTGGGCAGTGAGATCTTCAACGGCAGCGAGTTGCAGATGAAAGTCGTTGGCGTGAGCAGGGGCCTTGAGAGTTTCAAAGAAACTTTGACGCTCCAGATCGGTAGAGGCCTTGTGCTTGACGCATTCTGACAAAAGTTCCCAGCCAGCAATCCGCTCCGCATCCGATTTATTCTGCGTAATCATTGTCTTTGCGACATCCCATATTTCCAGCACTGGGTTCATGGGGTGTTCCGCGACGGCAAATCTGAGCGAGTTCGCAGCAGCAACACGTTCTCCGACAGGGCCGTTGCCGTTTCTCAGCACCTGCAAGGACTCCATGTGGTTCGGCGACCATCCGGCGAGGGTTGTTCGAGTGGCGTTGACGTGGTCAGCAATGGGGGATAGGATCGAAGAAGCGGACTTGAGGCTCGGCGGAGGGGATTTTGTCAATTTGGCGCCGGTCAGACCCTTGAAAACGCTCGCCAGGCCGCTCGGGCGACTCGAGTCTGGCGAAGAGGGCGCATCTCCTGGCGAAGGTGACATGTGCTCGTCGGTTTGATCGGACTCTGGGTGGTCGCTCTTGGACGAGACTAGGCGACGAAGCATGTTAGCTATGTTGTAATGCAGCAATCTTCATATCGGCTTGAAGCGTCGGATAGCGAAAGTGGGTTGATGTTGTCATCGGTGTTGCGAATGATGAGGATGCGAGTCTTTGGGTGGCCCACAGCTTGCGATTTGTCGATAGAGAGGAAGAACGAGCAAAGGTATGGATGGTATTTGCGGACGACCACCTTACTCACAGGCAGAACGGCTTTCAGATCAGCTGGAAAGGTGGCAGCAGGCAATCAGGAAGGCGCCACGGTCTGATGCACCCCATTCAAGACGAGGCCGACGAGGCGAGCTGCAGGCAGGCCAGATAGTCGATAGTCCCGAAGTGGAAGTGGGAGGTGGAGGGGGCGGGCTCGTAGAGCGTGTGAGGGTGAGCAAGGCCCCCGGCGCAAATGGAACCAGTCGAGAGCTAGCGAGACGGCGGGAAGAGAGGACCTCGGAATGGTTGCCGACGGGAGCTGACGAGAGAACAAGGCCAGTGCCAGTGGTACGGTGCGGTGGTCCTAGTTCGTAGAGTGGTCTGCTGTGTGATGTTGGTGCCGGGTGGGAGGGTTGAAATTTGATCGGGTTGTGTCCGTTGTGCCAAGTAGCGGGAGTTGCTAATGCGCTATCACGACATCACATCGCATCGTGGGCCTTTGGAGGTTTCGGCGGGTGGTGCAAGTCGTAGAAAAAATGACGGGGTAGAAAAGCTGACGGAATGCTGATCCCATGAGTCGGGTGGCATGGGGTGAAGGTAGCAGGTGCGCAGGTTTTTAGGGGGGCAGATTATGCGGCAAGTACCTGCAGCAGGAACCAACAGTTCGTGGGCGCTCAACTCAATCTTCCGTAGATTGGCTTGCTTGGTCCCCCGACACGGCCTGGAACATATGTGCAGTTCCCCCGTTGCAGGCACCTTACCTACCTAGGTAGCTTAGTAGCTGCTAAAGGGACCTGTAGGCTGTAGCCCCACTTGGGATGGCCAGCTGATCCTGCTTGTTTCGCACCAATGCTGTTCCGTTTGCAGAGCTACCAAAGGACCTCACTGCTTTGACTGTGACAGCATGCGTCGGCGTCCAACGTACAAATGACGGGATTCTTGGGGGCACTCCGGGACATGCCCCGTATTACTCGGCACCGGCCCGGACCAAGATCTCAAGTCAGGCATCCGACGGTTGAGACGTGCCATACGTAGTATGCATCTGATCGTAGACTCTACCTTATTATAAGGTAAGGTACCTTACTGATTGTGCAACTGTTCTCTACAAGTGGGAGGCGCAGTACTCCGTACCAACGCAAAAGTTAGGCGTGCGGTAGAATTTCCTTCTCAGCTATGGCACGCTTCCTAGTGTGGTCCGAATTCAATCAAAAACCTCACCGGCCTGCTCAGACAGGTAAGGTAAAACACTTTCTTCAGCAGCAGCTTTGTCTCTATCCCGTTTTGCGTCAAGCCTGGCGGATGCTTCATTCCAATCGCCCTACCTTAAGGTACCTAAGGTCTCTCCATCTTCTGTAGCGCACAGACCAATCGCACGCTTGCCCTGGTGCCTAGGCGTTTGCCTACCTTACCTAGTATACGTACAGGCAGCCTGTAAGGTAGGCAGTGTATTCGTAGGTACCTACCTCTCCCTGCAGTTTTTCTGACAAAGCTCTCGGTCGCCTTTGGCTGGCGCTTGTCAGTGTCTGTCATTGTCAACAACCAATGATGGGAAGCGCCCCACAGCACCTTCCATCTCTTTTCCATAAGGTCAGCTAAGGTACGGCACGGAGCCTCGTCCCCCACAGCAACACTCCCCCCATCCCAAAAAGTTCAGCGCTGGAAAAAGAAGCCATCACTACGACAAACTTCCACCGCCACTCCTCAATCACACATTCCCCCGACGCTGCGAACTCTGTCAAGATGGCCTCCCAAATGGGCACCATTGCCCAGCTGCTGGACGCTACTTTAGATCCCAGCACTCACAGAAAAGGTACCACCCTCGCCCTTCCGTTGCTGTTGCCGTTGCCTCGTACCCCGCCAACCTTGTTTGTATGCTAATAAACAAACGTGAAAACCAGCCGAGCAAGCCCTCAAGGCAGAGGCAGCCAAGCCGCAATACTCTCTCAACCTCCTCAACATTGTTGCCTCAGATTCTCTTCCTCTCAAGACCCGTCTAGCCGCCGCCTTGGCCTTCAAGAACTTCATCCGCTCCAACTGGGTCGACGCCGATGGCAACTACAAGCTCCCCGCCGATGAGGTCAACACCATCAAGTCTCAGCTCATCGGGCTGATGATTTCTTGCCCACCAACCATCCAGACCCAGCTCGGCGATGCTATCAGCATCATTGCCGATTCAGATTTCTGGGAGCGCTGGCAAACACTGACCCAGGAGCTTGTCGAGAGGTTTTCCCCCGTCGATCCCAAGGTCAACATTGGTGTCCTCGAAGTCGCCCACTCCATTTTCGTCCGCTGGCGTCCTCTCTTCAGAACCGACGACCTATACACTGAGATCAACCACGTCATTAGCACGTTTGCGCAACCCTTTGTGCAACTGCTTGTCCAGACCGACGAGCAAATCACAAAGAACGCCCAGAACAAGGATGCCCTTAAGAACTGGTTCGAGTCTCTGAGCCTCATGATCAAGATCTTTTACGACCTCTCGTCCCACGATATGCCCCCCATTTTCGAGGAACACCTGGCCTCCATCTCAGAACTACTGCACAAGTACCTCACATACACGAACCCGATCCTCGAAACCGACGATGATACCGAAGTTAGCGTCATCGATACCGTCAAGGCCGACATCTGCGAGGCTCTGGAGCTCTACACGCTCAAGTACGACGAGGACTTTGGCAAATACACGGAGCCCTTCATCACCAATGCCTGGAATCTGCTCTCCAGCACAGGATCCGAGACCAAGTATGACCTGTTGGTCAGTAAGGCTTTGCACTTCCTGACCGCTGTCGCCGGCACTTCGCAACACTCGGGTGTCTTTGCGGACGAGAACGTCCTGGGCCAGGTGGTCGAGAAGGTTATCCTGCCCAACGTTGCCCTGCGCGAGTCTGATTTGGAGCTGTTTGAGGATGAGCCTATCGAGTACATCCGCAGGGATCTGGAGGGCTCAGACACCGACTCGAGACGCCGGTCCGCGACCGACTTCTTGAGAAGACTCCAGGAAAAGTACGAGCAACTCGTCACTGGTGTCGTGTACAAGTACATCAACCACTACTTGGAGCAGGGTAAATCCGACTGGAAGGCGAAGGACACGGCGGTGTACCTCTTCATCTCCATCGCGGCCAAGGGTTCCGTTACCGCCGCTCAAGGTGTCAAGACGGTCAACTCATTGGTCAACGTTGTGGACTTTTTCGAACAGCACATTGCTGCGGATCTGATGGCCAGCGGAGGTGTTGAGCCCATCTCCAAGGTCGACGCCATCAAATACCTGCACACATTCCGCAGCCAACTGACAAAAGAGCAATGGAAGCTCGCGTTCCCTCCCCTCATCCAGAACCTGGCGTCGGACAACTACGTGGTCTACTCATATGCTGCGATTGCGGTCGAGCGTCTGCTGTTCCTATCGGACGACTCGGGCAAGGTCATGTTCCCCCGCGAAGACATCCAGCCGTTCGCCAAGGACTTGCTTGAGCATCTATTCAAGCTGATTGAGAAGGAGAGGACTCCTGCCAAGTTGCAGGAGAACGAGTTCTTGATGAGATGTGTAATGAGAATTCTCATTGTGTTGAAGGACGGTGCCGCGCCACTGGTTGAGGTTGTTCTGACACACTTGGTTGCCATCACAAACATGATCAAGCAGAACCCTAGTAACCCGCGCTTCTACTACTACCACTTCGAGGCCCTCGGCGCTCTCGTCAGATATACCTCGTCCACGCACGCGGCGCTTTTCAACCAAAAGCTTTGGGAGCCGTTCAACCAGATTCTGATTGAGGACGTTACCGGTACGTCGACTACTGACACGAAAATGACTTTTAAGGTTTAACTAACGATGGTTACAGAGTTCCTGCAATACATTTTCCAGATTCTGGCGCAGCTCTTGGAGTCAAGCCCTCCCGATGCAGTCTCCGACAACTACAAGGCTTTCCTGTCCCCGCTGCTCGAGCCGGCTCTGTGGGACACCAAGGGCAACGTCCCAGCTTGCACCAGACTTCTGTCGTCCATCATCCCAGCAACTTCCGCTTTCATTGTCTCTGAGAACAAGTTGGAGCAAATCCTCGGCATTTTTCAGCGTCTCCTCGCTGTCAAGAAGTACCAGTTGTACGCCTTTGACATTTTGGAGGCCGTCGTCAAGTCATTCGAACCGTATGTCTATCCCTTGCCAACAGACCTTTTGAAAGTCCCGTACTAACTAGACTCAGTGCGGTTACTGATCAATACTTCGGTACCATCCTAAACCTGCTGTTCGCCAAGCTCCAGGGCAGCCCGCCGGATTCGCTCAAGCTTCGCTTCGCTCGATTCTTCCACCTCGTGGCGTCCCGAGTTGAGGCTGGCTTCGGTGCTGATTACTTCATGAAGCACGCCGAGAAGATTCAGGAGGGCATCTTCGCCAAGGTCTACCCTCCGTTTGTCTTGGCCGAAACGGAAAAGCTTGCGCGACCTGTCGACCGTAAGCTCGCAGTAGTCAGTCTTACCAAGACTCTCTGCGAGTCGCAGGCCTTTGCTCAAAAGTTCGCCAAGGGCTGGGCCAACACGTGCAAGATCCTTCTTGCTCTTTTGGTCAACCCTCCAGTGGTCTCCGCCGGTCTAGGCGATGAACTCATTAACGAAGCTGACGTTGATGATATCGGCTTTGGCTTGTCCTACACTGCGCTCAACACCTGCCGGCCGATTGCGCGTGACGATTACCCAGAGGTTACCGCGGTGGCTCCCTGGGTCAGCGCGTACATCAGCTCCGCAAACCAGCGCCACAACGGCGCGATTGTCAACTTTGTCAACACACGTCTCACGCCGGAGCAGCAGCAAGCACTGCAACAGTACTTGCAATAGGAGGTGCTACCAGGCGGTGAAATGGGGTTGCCGGACAATTATGCGTGGTCCACGGCCCATGGTGGATGGCAGAGACTCCAATAGGAGGACGGACTACTTGAACGAGTGCGGAATGATGCCGAAAAAAGACGCAGGAAAGAAGCGTCAAGAAGACGCGGTGGGAAGATGGGAAGGGAAGGATTCACCCAGACCGGGACACGGCCAGGCGTATGCGGTGGAGGAAATATCATGTGCAACACTCGATTCAGGCTTGCTGGATGATTAGCATTGGGTGACAAGCGTCGTCCCCCTTTTTCGAGTATCGAGGACTAGAAAAGCAAAAGGCATTTTCCGTTTCTAATGCCTCTGGCTGATCACTGACGATTGTTTATCTTGTGTTTGCAATGTCACAGTGCACTTAACTTGCCTCAAGTGGCTAGAGGAGCTGATACTTGATGACCATGAAGAACAGACCTGCCGGCGCCGACCGCCGCAGGTTCCGCAGTTCCACACCGCTCCAGCTCGGTCGTCCCGACTGGGGGGGAAGGGAAGGGTATATGTAAGTATCCGTAGGCTCGCTTTCCAGTCCGCAGAAAGAATACCCCCCGCCCCTGCCCCGGTCCGGTGCAGGGCAAGACTCGAGTGAACGACTTACGTACCCCCTAGTTGCCCTCTCGTGAACCCCCGTGCCCTCCTTACCCGAGTTGCCTCCCCCCCCCCCCCCCCATCGTTCTTGCAGTGTAACTCCCGGGCGGTGCCGTATAGCTGCAATCTGCCATTATCCCCGGATGTGGAGTAGGTAGAAGGTGGGTGGGTGGAATGTCTTGGGTGTCGTGACAGCGTCGCCACTCCCAGATTCGCAGAGCCCGGGAAAAAGGCCAAAAAGCCCAGGCCAGCGTGTGGTCAACTCTCTTGCTAGCATACTGTGTACACAGTAGACAGGCTGGCTCCTTGTTCCGTCATCGGCGCCGCCGATGTTAGTCGTTGAACTCTGTTAAACTCGAGGTTTATTCTACTATAATCCAGGTCTTCGTACGGTAGTTGCGCAGACCTTCTAGAAGGGCTAGAAAAAAAAAGTAAACGCTCCACAAGCAACGAAAGAAAAAGGGGGGCCCGGGAGCGGTAGAAGAATGTAAAGAAAGAAAAAGCTCGGGCACGCCAGAGGTCCGTTTGTCCTTGCCTTGTGAGCCTTGTCAATTTTTTGTTGGCAGGCAGATGTAATTGTGGAGAAGACCACTCGGGATGTTGAATAGGAAGGGATAGAAGAAGAAAAAAGCTCTTCAACGACTATCCGTATTCCGTACCAAGGTCAAATTCACCGACATTGACCCTTTCAACTGTTTTCATCCCGCCCCTGGTTCCTCCTCGCAGGGCTCCTGGCCTACGATGCCACGGCCCACGGGTCAGCAAATGGGGTGGTAGTGGCGACTGGAACTACGGATACTGCTTACCCTGATTTTCTCCTGCCCTCTTCTTCGTACTAGGAAACAAGGCCTCAGAGACAGAGAGTCAGAGGGCCTGTAAAGGAGGTTTTCGTCTCGACGGGGGCGTTGAAATCCACGTCCTTTTTTTTCTTTCCCTTCCAGGCTTCCAGACCCTCTCCGAAGTGGGGGGTTTGCCGAGCCCGTTGAGGAAGACCGGGGTGTCCCGATCCACTGATTGTGTTTGCCGGGGGATGGAATGTTCGCCCGGCAGAGTCCAGACGAACACCAATGAAAAAGACCCTGTTTTTCTTGTCATGACGATATGGGACCCCTGGGTGGACGAGGTTTTCCGTGCTGTGGTACTGTGGACACTGAGAAAACCGCAAACATGGTGGGAATAAGGAAGGCGACGACGCCGATCTCGCGGGAATCGCCCGTGGATGTCGCGGGCCAGAAATTGAGATGAACGGTGCCACAATGGGCGGAGACGTCATGACTGTGAGAACGTCAGTGAGGCTGTTTGACCGCTGCTTCAATCTCCCTTCAGTGGGTGGCTACTGGGTGTTGTTGACTCGTTGTGGAGGATAAGAGGTTTTTTTTTTTTTATCCTGGTGAGAAAGAAGCCGACGCCAGGAGAGTTGTGATACCACCAAGGGTTCATCCATTGCAGGGAAAATAATTATGAAATGTTTCAAATGCTTTTCATAGATTGGTATATCATCCACTCTCGTCAACTTTGTACTACAACAGTTCTATATGTCCATCTGAACGTAATTTGCGTCGAGAAATGAAAGTCAGGAACTCGTTGGTAACGTCCTGCAAAACATGTCATGCCCGCCTCGTCAGACAACAGACGACGGCACTTGCCATATACATAAGAAAGGGCAGGCGGCAACGTGGTATGACCGACATGTTGCCTAGTGCCTTGATGTACCGACGCGAGTCTGTCGAGTCCGCCGGGCCTCTCGAGTCTCTGACATCGAGGTGTTGCTTCCTTTGATAAATGCCTCCCTCCTCGAAATGATGCTTTAAACCTCCAACTGGGAAATCAACGCGTAATGAAGAAGAACGAATATCAAACGCCAGGTCCGTGTTCTGTGAACCCCGATCATAAGTCGTTATTAGATGCAAACAGTGGTATCGTCAGATCAAAAATCGTACAGCATATATCAACTATGCTGTGGCGTGAGTTGGGTATAAGTTTGAGCTGTTGGTTGTGGTTTGGTTTTGGTGAAAGAATAATGATGTCGGTTAAATCCGGCCCCGGAGTGGACAATAGTAAAGAGGGTAGGTAATCATGACGACTGGCAGGTGGTAGTGATTCGAATTAAATCATACCGCCCTCGGTGAATCCGATGCTGTTTCGCCATCCACAGCGTCGTTCTTGATCCTCTCTCTCGAGGTCTCGAGGTCGTGGAGGAACGCCCCTAGCGTTCAAAGTACCTTTGGGTACCTGAGATGGACTTGGGTCGAACTCGCTGCTGCCGCAACTGCTCCCGCCGCTGGTGTTGGTCTGGACGAGAAGTAAGCTGCTGGTGCTCGAGAGACGCTTGGTGAACTCGCTGAAGCTGAGTCGCTTGGCGCTGGAGCCGGACGCCCGCTTTTCCCCGTTGGTTCGGAAGTTGGCATCATCGGATGTCTTACCGGATGAAGAGGTTGGCACATCGAGCCTCTCTTGGCCCACGGGCTGAGTTTGGCTGTACGTCCTTTGCGTCACACCCGGCCGCATCTTGGAATGCGCCGTGTGTGGTCGCGCAGGAGCCTGCAGGGGAACACTGAAGTTGGCAGGCGGGCTCCTCATCACGGGCGAGCGAGGTGACATGGCTTCTTCTTGGCGACTAGCAAGATATTCCAGGGCGCGTTGGGCATTGGGTGCGATCAAGGTTTGGCGATTGCCACTGGCATCTGCCTCGTGTGCATATTCGTCATGCTCGTCGTCGTCTTCATCTTCCTCGTCGTCGTCAGCCTCCTCTTCGGATGAGTCCTCATCGACATCGAATGCGCTCAGCATGGCAATCTTCTCGGCATGTGCTTCTTTCACCTGTTGTCGCACTTTCTCGTCGGCCTCCCGCATCAATGCATCGAACCGAGCCAGCGAAGTGAGCTTTTCTTCACCCGGAGTCTCGAGTTCGGAGCCAGGGATGCATCGCAGCTGGAAAGCTCGATCCAGGATCGTCTCTCGCTGGTTCGGTGGTGAACTGGAATCGGCACCCGGAAAAGGTTGGGCACCTCCTGAGCTGACGCTGCCTCGGCCGCGGATCGGTGAGCTGATGGTCGACGAACGTCCTTGTGCCGCTGTCCATCCCTCAATCAGTTCGCTTCGTTGGTAGTCGCTCATGGACATCGTTGTGACAGGGGAGGGGATGTCGCTCGGGAGGACGGTAGTGTATTTATTGGGATCTGGGATGGTGAAGCCCATATGAGCAGGATGGGTAGTGCTTGTCGGAGATGAGACATCACTGCGCTTAGAACGCAAACTCGGGGAATCGGAGCTGAATGTGATGGGGCGGTCTCGGCTGGAGTATGTCTGCGTCGAATTCTTGTGTTGCAGAGTGCCACGGGGATTCGGGTTCCCACTTGGAGGGCGGGGGAAGTAGTCAACATCTCGAGAACGCTGCTGGGCGAAGGGGTTGGTGAAAGAGGGAGAAGCCGGGCTTTCGGGGCTCATGGGGAGCTTTCTCGAAATAATAAACCGGGCCCATTCATGTAGACTAATGTGATGGTCGTCGGGAGGAGTTCGGAACCAGAGCGTAGTGGCAGTAGACTCTTTGCTCGAGATGAGGCCAGCAGCCCTACTGGAACGGCGCTTCTTTTCCTTGTCGTTGATGGTGATGACGAGAGTGGGCAGAACGGGGCCCTGCTTGCGATGGGCGAGCATTTGCACCTGACAGTCTATGACAGAGCTGACGGGGTATTGGTAGGAGGGCTCCCAATCGTCCTGCAAGTTCAGGTGGCTTAGGTTTGGGCCAGAGAACTCCGTCATGTTGAGCCTTACCTTTGACTTGAAGATGGAGATGTAGTAGTCGTCGTTGCCAGGGGTCCGCGGCTGGGATCTGGTACCGGTCCCGGTTGAGCGGGTTGAGGCGGCATTTTGGGGGAAAGTCGGACTGGTGACGGCTTCTCTGTAGACATTACGACCTCCCACAACTACATATCGTGGCTAGAAAAAGAAGCAAATGTCAGAGACAAGGTTCTCGGACGGCAATGCTGCAGAGGATTCGAACGCAATTCCATACCTTCCAGATGGCGCGACCCAAGATCTGGCCCCGATCAGGGGGTATCAAGAGAACTCCCTCGCAAGTTTCCATGGCTGATGGAAGAGGCTGAGGCAAGTGTTGTGACTAGTGAGGCGTATCCAGGCACCCTCGTTACTCCAAAGAGGAATTCGAAAGGTATCCAAGGTATCCGGTTGAAGATTTAAAAAAGCATGCTTAACGTTGAATGCAGGCGTCGGTGGTGGAGGACTTGATGCAGTCTAAACGAGGGTTGACGACGGTGGTTGCGCTGTGCATGTAGCAGAAGAAAGGTCGGATCGATGACAGACAAGTTTACAGGGTCGAGATGGGGATTCGGTATCTCGGGTCTGCACAAAGGGACCAGTGCGTTGTTCCCATGGATGTCTCTGGCTCCAGCGCCCCTGACCTGCGCGAGAATAAACAACGGTTTGTGCTGAAGCAGAGATTGGGTCGGCTTGGGAGAAGAAGAAGAAGAAGAAGAAGAAGAAATGAGGCGCGATGGCGGAGGAAAGTAGAGAAAGAGGTGTAAGGTGTGTGTGAAGTAGGTAAGCGGTGGTGGTAGACTGGTAGTAGTGTGGTCGTGGTGGATGGGGGCCGCCAATGATGGAGGAGGGGAGGGGGGTGAAGTGGTGAAAGGGACGGGAATTCGTTACTAAGGTAAGTGCAAGGCCAAGGCGAGCCGCGAAGGCGGTCTGCAGGAGATTGAGGAGGGGGTTCAAGCTCCAGGGACGGAGCCGGCGAACAATGGCATGAAGAGAAGCAGACTGGATTGCTGGTGCGGAGGGTAGCAATTCTTTTTGTTTAAGATTGTAGTCATTAACGGCGAATGAAGCGGATGGGATGTTGGGGGGTGTGGGTAAGGAGAAGCTGGGAATGATTACGATTCCACGCTGAAGACGGGACACTGCGAGGGCCAGTCCACAACCCGCAGTGACATGGAGCCAAAGAGGAGACAATGGGGACTGAGGGAAGGGAGGCAGGACGGAGGACAAGGTACCAGGAGTCTAGGAGAATAATCTACGGAGCAAAAGAAGAGAAGCAGAAGCAGACGTAGACACAGAAGTAGAAGAGTAAGTGGAGGCCATACGGGTACCATGCCTTACCGCACCGTCCTGGAGCGGTCCGTACTATGCGGTAGGCGAAATTAAGCAAGACCAAGGCCCAAGGCCCAAGAGTCCAAGACCCAAGACGCGAGGACTTGACGGGAAGGGCTAATACACAGTAGTCTGGAATCACTGGGACTGGATCGGGGGTGAAATGGTGGAATGGTGGATATGCGCATCTGCCTCGCACGTGTATTTCAAATGTAGCGCAGCAAACACTTTGACTTCCATGTCACTACCTCCTTCCCTACGCAGTAGTTGTTTGCTCTTGTACATAAGGTGGTGACATAGATATCCGTACACTCTCTCTCTCTTTTGTCACATTTCCGGGTCTTCTTTGTTGGCTCTAGCTGCAGAGCACCCTCCAACGCAGAGGTACGGACGTAGGCATACGCATTTATAGTCACGTACATATGTCATATCGTAGGCAGGAAAGATGGAATAGGAGGAAATACACTACCTTACCGAGCCAGGTACCTTTATTGCGTGGACGACACAAGGTCAAGGGACGGATACCTTGAGAAATACTCGCTGCTTGTCACTGTTCTCGAGGTACATTCGATACGTACCGGCGCTGGTCGCGGTCGGGATGTCAAGGACAGGGTGCTCTCCGCAGGGGGATGGGGGGCCAAGGAGGAAGGCAAGAAAAAAGAAGAAGAAAAAATGAAAAATTAAATCGGGTCCCCGCCGTGCCTGCGTGCCTGCCCTGTGTGCCTGTGCCTGTGTTGACTGTTGAGTGCCCTGTGGTCTTGCCGTCCAGTCTTGGAAATGGAAAAGAATGGAAGGAACGAACGGTACCTGCGCAAAGCAACGATGGCAAGTGCAACCCGCAAGTACCGGGTTCAGGGCAGGACCATTGGAACAGGGACGGGGATGTCCCTGACCCATCCTTCTTCGAGACCGCTTTGCATCTTGGGGGCACTTCCACTGGCATCTCATTTCATCCAATGACACGCTGCTATCGGGAACAGATGGATATGAGAGTGGATACCTTACCACCTTAAGGTACCTTACCTTGCGGAAAGGACAAGACACGGTACGTACCGCTCCTTCATTCCTGCCATTGACATTGACTGAATCTTTTCTCTCTCCAGACAGACCTCACCTTATTCCGAGGCTATCTTGGGACGCATCCTCTTCTAATTGACTTGCATCAGAGTACAGTCACTCTGCATCATGCTCAAGACAGCACATACATAGAGACACTCGGTCTCCGAGCCAGCAGCATACATACATAGACGACTGCCTCTCTCTCCCCCAAAATCATGTCATGCATTCGAATCTCTAGGCGCACCATATACATGAGATACCTCCCTACCTCTCCTCGGAAGCCCCTGGACCAAAAGAGAAAGAGTCCGGAGTGGATGCAATTCGAAGAAGCGGAAACACGGAAACAAGGCAATAGGAGAAGAAGAAGAACAAGAAGAACGAGAAGAAGAGAGCCACGCCACACACGGCAGAAGCGCTGTCAGATGGATGAGCCCTGTCTGCCTCGATGGGTATGTTCCATCGCCACAGAGACTATTCGTACGCATACAGGGCATCAGCAGACTACTGGCGGTCCCCCATGGAACTACCAATACAATTCTACAGCTAGAGTCGCTCCACCACAAGACTGCGTCGTCCACATCGTGACGCTTCCACTGCCAGGAACCGAGGGGCGCCGAGACGCGAGAGGGCCTCTTGCTGCGCAGTAGAGGGGCGGAAACACTCGAAGACTTCTATCGCTAAAAGAGAAACACATTAGCCCTCTTCTAGCCATGCTGGCCCTGGTTCACCCTCTTTCATCCCTGCTACGCCCCTGCAGCGGCCCCGGTCCAGCTGCGAGCTCTGGTCTTTTCCTCCGTCCACTACCCACCTCTCCCCTGTCTGTCATTCCCGTCAACCCTCTCAACGTCTCCAGGGACACACACGCAACAATGCTGCAATTCCAGGGAGAAATATTCCTCTCGCCTACTGACTACCTCACTCACCTACTGCACGGAGTACATACGGATACAGACACCAAGAGCTTGACTGCTTTCAGATGACGCTGGCGCCGTTTCGACTCTATCGCCGTTTGCAGACGTCCTCACTGGCTTTCAGTCCATCCGCCCGAAGCCGTGTCTCTTACTATCCTCTAGCGCATCTCCTACCGTCCGCTTCTTTGATATCCTCGTCGACTTTCGTTGTCAACTCATACGCCATCCGTACTTTCCCATCAGATCGAATCGACTTGAGACGGCATCGCATTTCATCCTATCAGCCACCGCTTCTCCACCTCAACTGCCTAGCTGACTTTGCGGCGTCACCGGTCGAGCCGTTTGTTTCCCCAAAACTATACCACCGAGACCAAAAGGAACCGGGAATCGTCCCGGCTCCGGTTGTTGGCGGCAGTCAGCGTCGTACAGTTTCAGGCCGGCTCCTCCAAGAGTCAGAACGTGAGAGCAAGACATCAATGGGGGACGCCATCTCGGGAGCCGGATCGTAGCTTGTGTCATACATGGCTGTGTGTGGCATGTCATTGCAACTTCATATTACCCACCTCCATCTTGGACGCCTAACCCGGAGCTCATCAATCACCGCCGCGCTGGTACCGAGCGCATTCCTGCACAACTCCGGAAACACCTCGTACTTCGTACACGGTGCCATGGGCTGGTTTTCTTCTCAACGACACGCCAGCCACTATTATACCCTCCACATGCGTGCCATTTCCACACAACGTCCTATGTTGGTTCGCAAATCGCATCACATCAGCTAGGAAACGGCCACCGTCGTTCCTGACTCTTGCGACTCTGCACTAGTCCTGCTCATGTGCCGTTCCGAGCCTCCAATACGACACAACACCGCTTGCTGGTCTTGCTCTGCGGCTGCTCCTGCCGACAACGACAGGGGAGACAAGAGAGGCAAACAAAATTGGCCGCCGGAGACTTTTCGTCACTTGATGCAGACGTAGTAAGGAGACGGATACCTGTAACTCCAGTCTTCAGCTTGGAGTCGTTGTCAGAGAGACGGATCTCGAGCGCATTGTTCGACGAGAATCTCCATACCTCTTCCCCCACCGCTACTTTAACAGACATCAGCATCAGACCATATCTGATGAACCAAGTATCGCCCCCTCTCTCGTCACTTTTTAACCGCCGCAGCATCCGTGGAGCATACTCGGACGCTGGGCACTTGTTTCCTACCTACGACGCCACGTAGCGGATCTCATTGACCGAACCTTCCACCTCGCTCCCCACTCGTGCTCATCCGCACAGGTGTCCAAGCTCTTTCATCGCCGCCTCAGTGTATGCAGCGTCCAAGTCTGGTCCGGTCTAATTAGTCCAGCGACATATCAGATCTGATTGTCTTGAGCCTGCAGTTGGGCGGGCGGGCGCACTCAAATATGCAGCACATGCAGGCCTCGCATGGCATGGCATCGCGTTGCATCGCATCAACCATCAACGCTAATAAAGGGACCCAAGCTAAAGCCCATGTGGCCTCTCCAATATGAAGCCAGTGAGACCGCACCCATCTCGCATCGCAAGCCCGACTGGCTAGTCACCGTCATAGACTAGTCCTGGACTCAAGGCTCCTGGAGGGCCCTGGACAGCTCTGGTTGTGATTCTGGCATGGCCGCTCCAAGCCCTCCAAGCCCTCCTGTCTCCGCCAACTCCCAACCT